ACATATCCTACATTAACTAAATTTAAAATGACGACAGATTTTTCAGATCTCTCGTAATATGCGACACTATGTTTTTGCTGATAAAAACAAAGTTAATTCCATCCATTTATCATAAAAATTGTGTTAGACACAGCATTTTTAAACACAATGCTTAAAATTGTTTAAGCGCCCTAACAGGAACGGACATTTAAATGCGCTTCAGCAGCGGTCATTTAAATAAACTCCGGCCAGCTCAAGCTTACCACCATTTCAAAAGCCCGGCGTTTAAAGGTTAACTATGAAAAAACGAATATTTTAGACAGTTGGTAGAAATCCTTGTGGGAGGGAGCAACGTGCGCCTACTCCCACACAGTAACCCAATATCACAGACATACGTATATATTCACACACATAAAATCACGGACATAGATCTACATCCATGATCCAAACGTAAGAATACACATATAAGTTTAATAAGCTCTTCATCCTTCTCCCTCATTATGGAAGAAATTTGACTACGCGGTATTTCAGATCCACTCTTTACTCCTTCCGTCTGTGCATAAAAAGAACAGTACGAAATATATAACGTTTTTGTTTGGAGATCCTTATGAAAGTAAAATCGTCTGTTGCATCATGGAGAGATGTGGTGTTATCATCTTAGGTTTCGGGACAGTGTTGCAATCCCCATTTGTGTTTTCACTTCGCATTATTTCCTACCTATGATTGCTCTATTTTGTGTCATGCAACTGACTCCTACTGCCGGTCACGGTAACCGAGCGGTCTAAAGCATGCACTGTCTTCGCTCGCTCGGAAGCCGAGATCGTGGGTTCGAATCCCACTCAGGGCATGGATGTTTGTGTGCGTTTTTCTGTGTTTGTGTACAGGTAGAGGCCTTGCGACGAGCTGATCACCTGCCCAAGGAGTCCTACCGTATGTGTAAGATCTAGAAAAACCGAAGTGAACGGAGTTCATGGAGGTAGGCCTAGGCCCACTGGGGCTGTAGTGCCAAGGAAAAAGAAAACTGACTCCTACTGGCATATGCTGTTCAGATTTTGATCAGTACATTACAAACGTTCAGAACCACAGTGCGTCTGTGTTCACATAGTTAAAGCAACCCGTCACATTTCGTGGTATGAGATCAACATAGGAACTGTCTCAGAATTCTATTCCTAAATCGTCACTATAGTTGTGCAACTGACTGCTTGTCCCGGTACAGAAGTTCAGTTTTCACGGAACAACACGAAAGGAAGTGCAACAACTTCTGTTCTATTTTAAGTTTGTAGACTGTTCAAGTGCGGAGCGGTTGTACTATGCATGTGTAGTACATTTTGCTACAACTTTGTCTTACTCACCAACAGAAATTAGGACGAGTCCTAATGAAGGTAAGGCAACGTGTGTTATGGGATTTTCGATATTTCTGTTTGTAACATCAGTTCTTCAAAGTTGTGTGTACACTTCAGCTTCGCTACGGACAAAACATAGCTGTAAACGTCTTATTTCGTTTTGAATTGTACCATTATCATTGGTACCATTGGTAGTAAAAGTTGTTTATGTTTTGAGCTTCGTTAGGAAGCCTAATACACATTAGGATGGTAAGACTAAGATCTAATCAGAAAGCCTTGCAGTTCTAAATTTAAGGCTCTCGCAGGGAGTGAAATAATTTCAGGTTCCACCAAATTATCCAGTCAGAAGAGGGATCAAATTTCGTTTTTTTTTTTTTTACTAAGAGGTAAATATGAAAGTTATGAGTAGTCGAATTCAGTATATTATGCTGGTTATGTAGAAATCAAAAACCTTTTTATGTGAGGTGACGATTTGAAATTGCAGATTTAAATTTTACTTCTGAAATTCGAGACAAAGTAAAACATTCCTATAATGGCTGTGTAATATTTAGGAGCCAGCTAAAACTTGCATCATTCTATACTTCAGTGACTTTCAAACTTTCCTCCATTATTCACTTATAATGCCGCCTGAGACTCAATACACATAACCTCATGGTTTCTCTCTGTCGTGTTGGTAGTTTCAGTACGGCAAGAGGCAAGGCCGCGCCACAGCTCAAGCGGTTAGTCGCTGGCTTCCCACCGCGGCGGCCCGGGTTCGATCCCGGGTCTGGTCAAGTGGGATTTGTGGCGGCCAAAGTGGCGCTGGGGCGGGTTTTCTCCGAGTACTTCGGTTGCCCCTGCCAATCTTCATTCCACCAAATTCTCCATCATCATAATCACCCGGAGCAAGTACAATAGGCCAATCAGCGGCCGCCGTGCCGAGTGGACGCAGGTGGACTCCACCCCCCCTAAGCGAATTAAATAAAAAATGTAAACGGCAAAGTGGCCGGTCACGGTAGCCGAGCGGTCTAAGGCATGCACTGTCTTCGCTCTCTCGGAAGCCGGGATCGTGGGTTCGAATCCCACTCAGGATATGGATGTTTGTGTGCGTTTTTCTCTGTTTGTGTACAGGTAGAGGCCTTGCGACGAGCTGATCACTCTCCCAAGGAGTCCTACCGAATGTGTAAGATCGAGAAAAACAGAAGTGAACGGAGTTCATGGAGGTAGGCCTAGGCCCACTGGGGCTGTAGTGCCAAGGGGGGGGAGGCAAAGTTGCCCTTGTGCTTAACTAATTAAGCACTGCGCCATGAAGGCGTATGGGGGATTGGATGTATAGATCCACGTTTCCTTGACTTCGGCACTAGATGGAGGTGAGTGGTCAGCTTTGCGCCCCGGCCGCTTTACCCCCGGGGAGAGAACTGCCGGTATCCATTGACGAGGAGGCTGGGCATGCCCCAAAAGTGGTGTGAACGACGCGGAAAAAAAACTCCGACCCCTGCGTCGCCTGGCTCGTAGCCAGTCGCTATTGGGTCATTCCATGTGAAGTCATCCAGATAGGTCGCTCGATCATTTTTAGAAAAAAATATATTTTGTACACTTATTTCTACATATTTTCATACTTCAAAAATATTTAAAAAATTATATTCCTCTAGGTTCTTCCGGTACAGCCGTTTTTATAATGCGAAGAAAACGCGTTTTCGGCTGAAATTGAGGTTTGCGTTATTTTCAATTTCTCGATAAATATTGATGCTAGGAACTCAAATGAAAAACCAATTTATTCCTCATGATATGGACTACACTTCATATTATTACGAGTGTTTACCCAACTCAATTTTTCTAGGCCCAATTAAGCTTGAAACTTATCTGTCGATTTTGGGAAAGAAGCTATTTTTAACCTTCAAAAACCAATGGGAGGGGGGAAAGTATCAGGTCTGTGGATTCTACCCTTTGTTGTTGTCTATATGGGGAACATAATCACGTAGTTTTGATCCCTGTATCTATTTTCTAAAATTTTCCAGGAGCTTCCAAACTTTGCTCTGGGCCCAAAATCGGCTATGTTTAACATCTCATATCTCCGGTGGAGAAGCTCCGAACAGTTTTAAATTCGCAGTAGATAGTCATCCGATGCTTGTTAGCTTATCTCCATAGCATTCAGTTGTCCCCTTTTACGGTAGTTACTATGGGAGTTTCGGTATTTTATTTCTATTTTTTTTTATTTCTTGTCACCTGCTCTATGTGAAAGTACATGTGTAACCGTCCATTAAAGTTTAAATTATATTTAAGAAGTAGCACTTATGTTAAGAAGTGGGCAGAATGGGACATTCTGTCGGTACATTCAGAAGCGACAAGGGTTCTTCCTTTATGAATGGACAGGATGTAGCATTCGCTGCACTTCCTGAATAAAGTTGTAAAACTAGGACAGTATTCCTTTAAGAAAAGGAAGGTTAAACGGTTATTGCCACTATCATTCAAGCAGTAGAGGGTTCAAACACCCACGCTACCGAAGGGAAATTTGTACCAAGCTGCCAACGAGGCAATCAAATAATTAAAAATTAAAATAATTTTGTTTGGTAGATGCCAATTTCAGGAAAACTCCCAAAAGCTGAACTGGGCCAATAGAGCAAATTTCAAGGAGGAGCATCCTTGTGGAAGTTTGGGCTCAGAGAGTTTGTTGCTTCGGATAGCCCATTCCCCAGAGAGTGGTATCCGAGATTGAAAGTGATACAGACGCGAAACGGTGTCCCCCATTCCCCAAAGCAGGCGTCTCCGAGATTCAAAGTGATACAGACGCGAAACAGGGTCCCGACGTCCACGATTTGCCAAACATTATTAGAATTATAAGTTCAATAAAGATATAACTAAACATAGTGGTGTAGCCAGTGTTCGTGAAATTAGTGCACAGCATAATCTTCCCGTTCTACTGGAGTGAGGCCCGATACGCCGTGAGACGGAGTCCATCTCTCCCTGAGAAAGCTGGACGGGCTCAAGACTCACCTGCCTGGTTATCCTTCAGCTGTAAGCTACTGACGTACGCTTATTGGCGCCCAAATTTCACTCTTTGCCTCCCAAGTTAACCTACCTGTCCCACAGAGGGCTTGCGGAATGTGACCAGAGTGCTAACAGGAAGAGAGCTGGATTTAGCAGCAGTGAGGGGTGAGGATCGTCGCAACACAGGTGGCCCTAGCTACCTCAAGTATTGTATCCCCAAAACACTTGGCAAATCAGCTAGCGGTCATCAGTGAAGGGACGGTTAAACATGCGAAGTCTTCCTTGAGTGCTGACGGTGGCTGCGGCACCTCTAACCCACAGTTAACCAGAGAGACAATATATTCCCCCTGACCGTTCATAGCCGTATGTCAGAGTACACGGCATCGCTTCGTAGATGATCGCAATTTTATTTTCTAATAACTTATTTTCACATCAGAATGAAGCATCGGACCTGCCTTTCTTTAATAAAAAACTGTACGTGTGCATAATATTGCTATTTCCATGACAACTAATTTCATTTGGGACCAGTCCCATATAGAGGGAGTAATGAGGGTTACTTGAGCCAGGCCCCTGGCCTAGGAGTTCCTAAATATATTCTTATTTAATTTAGAAAGTTACAGTAAGTACCACTCTCTTTTCCATAGTGACTGGCTATTAGCTGGACGACCAAGCGGTTGGAGTTCGAGTGCCGTTAGGGTAAACAATCTTTCCTTCTCCACGTCGTCCACATTGGTTCTGGGGCTCACCCAGCCTCCTATTGAATGGGTACCGGAGGCTTTTTCCTCGGGGGTAAACCAGCTGTGGCGTGAAGCTGATCACTCACCTCCAACTAGTACCAAAGACAAGAAGACGTGGGTCTAGAAATTTACTCCACCCATACACCTTCACTGCGTATTGCTTAATTAATTAAGCACATGGGCAACTTTACCAGTAACACACTCGTTTCCTCTAACTACGGTCCTGCGAACCTTACATCTCTTTGTAACTTCCCTTTCATATTTCGACAAAATCCTTTTGTGTTTCGAACTGAATACTGGTGCTTCAACGCTGAGATATCAATTGTACTGAGTAGCGGCTTTAAAATTGAACCCTCGGCATAACTTATTACGTGTGTCAACGCGCAACAAAGTTCTGGGCCAGCGATTACAACCCGTGTGCCGCGGCACACTTGTGTAACCCGAAAGGTCCCCAGGTGTGCTGCGGGAATTTGGGGGAAGGCCGAAAAAGAGCGCGAAAATTTTAAGGAATAAAAAATCGTCGAAATCCACGATCAATGTTGTTTTTAAAACTAACACAGTGATTAGAATTTTACCTATTGAACTTTTAAACACAATTATATTATTAGTTTTTATGATCAAATCTCTCCTGTAAAAAATTGAAGGTGTGCCTTGAGTTGAAAAACTTTGGTCTAGACGAATGATTGTGGAGGCCGAAAATGCGGGGGGAGCCAGGCATCTACACATCATTTCTTTTGAGAATGTCAAAAGTTACCACCAATGTTCAAAATGTGGAATAGAAATTCTCTGGATGAGCAGATATGTAGATGAGCACAGAAGATGATTAATACTGATTTTTGTTGCCATACCTTGATTCATCCTGATGGACTAACATTATCCCTATTTTTTGCAAGTTAAAAAGTAAAACATGCAGTTTCTCCAGTTTTCTGATATTTTAATAGTCCTTTTAAAAATTTTAACAAGAGTTACTACTACTTCTGTAAAAGGAGGGTTTTCATAGAGGTGTAAAAATCAGTACAGCCTACAGTGAAGTTTTTTCATAACTGGGCATTTTATCCAACAACATAATGCAGAATTTTAGAGTTTTGCAGTCTTTATCTGATTCACCCAGTGACTTGATTATGATCTGTTGCCTAGGTTTTTGAAACAATATGCAGGAACAACATCAAGCAAGACAAATTTTATCATAATAATTAATGTAGATGCTCATATAATGCCATACTGTGGCTTCCCACTGGTGCCATATAATAACCTATTGGGACAAATAGATGTAAACCAATATCTGAAATAATGTAAATGAGTAAATCAGTAGATGAATTGATTTTATAAAGGTTTATGGCAATGACTGATTCATTTCTTACCTTAGACAGGACTGTGTCCAACAGAGTTGTAGTGCAATGAAGGTTTCACAAGGCTGTGGTTATAAAAGTTTAGTAGTGCTTCCTTCATCAAATCCAAAGTAGATTTCTTTGAACTTGTATGTAATTTATACTAACAAATAAACTAATTAACCAAATTCGTAGAGATAAACCCTTCTTGAAAAACTTACAATTGTTCAGCTAGTTAGAACTTCCCAGCATTTTATGGAACCCAAAAATTACCGTGTTCACAAGAGCCCTCCACTGGTCCGTATCCTGAGCCAGATCAATCCAGTCCTTACCACCCCATCACATCTCTCTAATGAATGAATGTGTGAGGGGTAGGCCTTCTCGGCCCTTGCACCGCAGCCTACAGTGGTCTATTGTGCTTATCACATCTCTCTAAGAGACATTTTAAAAATTTGAACAGTGTAGTGCTGAGCTGTTTTGTGAATATGGTGTCATTCACAAGTAATCAGCCGCTTTAAAAGAAAATCTGTTTGTCACTATTCTGACAATTTGATTTTAGCCTCAAAGTTTAACATACAGTGCAGTGACGAATTTTCAGCTTTTGGCTTTTACTAAGTTTTCTGGTATGTATAATTTGTTAGTCAGTAAGCATGTCAGCTGCTAAAGGAGTTACAAATAATTTACATTGCAAAAGTAGTGTTAAACAATGGCTGTCTGTAATTCGTAACGTCAAGACCCTGATAATACTATTAAACATAAACATGTAGGTCCTATTCAAACACTCAAAACTACATGATATTTTGTTACCAAATACTTGTGTCTTGGATTTAGGTATCTTGGAGCAATCTTTGTATACAGAAACTGAGAAGCTAGATCTGATAATGGAAGATGTAGCCAGCAGCCATACTTTTTTGGAAGACAAGACCATGCCAAAAACTATTAAAAAGAAGAAAATGCTTTCAGGTAATTTTTTATTATTGACAAGTCAGAATATTTAAAGAGTATTAAATGTAAAGAATTAGGTCTCTGAGTGAACCTACAAGAATATGATTTCTTGAAAATATATAATATCTCATGGTTCATGAATTCATAATGCATGAAACTACCATAATCCAACATTAATTTATAGAAAATAAGAAACATATATATCATTATGGGCCTTTACTTGCTTTTATAATTGAATTAATGTATCTACTTTTAACCTACAGCATTTACCAACAATTATGTTGTGATTGTTGATAAATGTGTTTATAATGATGCATTTATTACCCAAAGTGCATGTGCGTATTTAGTGTTGTTTATTTTGTTTTTGCAAACATAACAAATTTTCAAACATGCCAATGCAATATCAACTGTTCTAAAATTTGTTTTATTTAGTGCCTGCTACATTTTTTGATCCATGTTTTGATCATCATCAGGCAGTTTCTTAACCTTTAAACGCTGGACTTATGAAACAATGGTAGCTTCAGCTGGCTGGAGTATATTTAAATGCCCACTGCTGGTGCACTTTTGAATATCCGTTGCTGCTGTGCATGTAAATGTCCGTTCCTGTTTGAGCGCTTAAATAATATTAAACGTTTTATTTGAAAATACTATATCTAATAACATTTTTATGATAAATGAATGGAATTAACTTTGTTTTATCAGCAAAGAACACAATGTGACATATTGTAACGTAAGATTTGAAAATATTTAAGCAAAAAAAAAATATATGCTCTCCTTGTGTGTTTTTTATAATTCAATTTGTACTGTACATAAGAGTGTCCTGCTACTTCACAAAGTGGTTCTGCATTATAAAATCATTACTGCTTGTAACATTTGACATTCTTTCATAGTCTCTGGTGTCATTAAACATCTGGGAGCCCTAAAAATATATTCTTCTCCTCATATTTTTCACATATTTGTTACACCCTTCAGTTGATCTGTTGATCAGAGGGATAGAAAAGTGAAAGTAGGGGTATTCAGGAGGGACTTCAGAGAAAATACCTTCTTTTGTACATGAATGCCATCCCTTCCATTGCAGCTGCAGGTGGTCGCACCCTGACGTTTGTGTCTTAGCTCAGATGGGTGCATTCAGTTTTCTGTCTTACTTCATAGTGAAACCGAATATCGTAGGTTAATTTTGTTATTAGATTAGAGCCAGAATAAGAGGCTGCTGGGCGGCTCCTGAACAATTTCTCACTTCCTTCTGTGGTAACATATTCAACCGCGACTGAGCTTTTTACATTCTTCTCTTCCTTTACTATAGAGACAGCAATGTAGAAATGGACAGAAAAGCCGACAATTGTGACAGACTATGGAAAATTCGCACTATATTTCACACTCTAAATGGCGCATATGGAAATTAATCCTTCAGAGCATTGATAAATGTTTCGTCATACACTGTGGTTTAATGTTTCCATATCTTCCACAGTACCTGCACGAATTCAACTTGGAATAATGGCCTTCTTCATGTTTTTTATCACTCAAATGATTCGCTCTAATCTCTACATTGCTCGTGTTGTCATGACAGATGTAGGAAATACAACAAATGAATCCCAGTCAAATGTGAGTTCACACATACAGAAATTTCTTAATTCTTTAATTTAAGGGCATGTTAGTGATGGGAAATAATGAGATTATAGTAGATGTTTCAATATTTATGATGAAAACTGCAGGATTTGTACTTCTAAATTGTGACTGATACAGGTCAAATCAAAGAAGGTGAACACTGGAACAAAAAACCCAGTTTATATAAAACTCTTTATAAGGTGTAAGTAAAGTTGCTTTTATGCATAATTGGATGCCACATTATAAATACATATGGGGAATGGCGGTGTAGCTCCAAAAGATTATAATTTTTTAATTAATTAATCAACATAATACATACATAAATAAATAAAAGATATATATATATGTATGTATTATGTTGATGTGTGTGGTGAGCTTCTTGACATGGCCACTTTATGCCTGAGGAAAACTCTACCAGCACATTTTGAGTAAGAGATTTCATGGCTCTGGAGTTCACCCAACCTCCTATCCAATGGGTAAATGGGGCTTTGTCGCCAGGAGTAAGTGGCAAGGGAGCGAAGCCGACTGCTCACCTCCAGCTAGTGCCAAGTTCAAAAAAATATGGATCTGTACATCCACTCCCCATACACCTTCATGATATGGTGCTTAATTAGTTAAGCACAGGGACAGCTTTACCTTTTTCTTACTTTGGTCTCTAAATACCTCCTTTCCATGATTTCTCTAACCATCATTCTGTGGGCAGCTGTTTTCCTAACTGGTGCTACATGTCCATTCCACAGTTTTTATTTTTTTGTTAAATACAGGGTTACTGTAAATGAAAGAGACACTTTAAACATTATATAGAAACAAAAGTATTATTGATATAGGCAAAATACTTATATGTTTTTTTAGTATATGTCTTTAAGTTTGTATAACTAAGTTACAAATGTGGCCACGCCATAGCTCAAGTGGTTAGTCGCTGGCTTCCCACCGCGGCGGCCGGGGTTCCATCCCAGGTCTGATCAAGTGGGATTTGTGGTGGACAAAGTGGCGCTGGGGTTGGTTTTCTCTGAGTACTTTCGTTTCCCCTGCCAATCTTCATTCCACCAAATTCTCCATCATCATAATCAGCCGGGGCAGGCTACAATAGGCCAATCAGTAGCCGCCATGCTGAGTGGACCGAGTTGGACTCCACCCCCCACTAAGCAAATTTTAAAAAAATTTAAGTTACTCGTACATATGTTCTCTGTGTGAGCCTTTTGTCACATTACAGATATCAATTTGATAATCCAGTTCGTTCAGATACACCAGAGCCTGTCATTATTTACGCTCACAAAAGCTCTTGTGATGCGTTGCTTTAGATCGTTTAATGAGCGGCTGCTGCCTCAACTACAAGAAGACAATGCAAACTTCATTTTCAACAAAGATGGAGATCTGCATCACTGGCACATGGAGGTTCAAAATTACCTGGATCAAAATCTGCCTCGTCATTGAATTGGCTATTTAACAGACCAGAATATGGCACTGACATGGTGGCCACCAAGAAGTCTAGATGTAACTCCTTGTGATTTTTTCATGTGGGGATAAACAAAAACAGAGTTTTCATTCCTCTACTTCCTGTAAGTATGAACAATCTAAAGAAATGCATCTCAACAGCTGTTACAAGTGGTGACAAGGACATGCTCTGGTCTGTTTGGAATGAATCAGATTATTGTATTGATATCTATCATGTGACAAAAAGCTCAAAAATATAACATTTTTAACTTATTCATACAAACTTAAAGACATATACTAAAAAACCATATACATATTTTGGCTATATCAATAATACTTTGTTTTCTACAAAATGTTGAAAGCATCTATTTCTGTTACAGTAACCCTGTACAAGCATTCTTCCAAATTTTTTAGTGTACTTAGGCAGCAGTATACAGTTTGTTTCTCCCCAAATATAAAACACATCACAGAAGGGAATTATGCATGAAGTAAATTCTAAAATTGCAAAGTCATCTCTTTATACTGTTGGATAGGCATAAATTTTTATCAGTATGTTTGAGTTATGTTCTCCAAGTGGCATACCTACTTGACCTTTCATGAATAAAATAAAATTTAATACATTATTACAGAAGTTGAACTGGAATGAACAAGAAACTGGAATGGTCCTCAGTGCTTTCTACTGGAGTTACTGGATAACAGAGCTCCCTGGGGGCTTAGTGGCTCAGAGGTTTGGTGGTTGTCGGGTACTGGGTTTTGGTGTGTTGTTGGCTGGATTGCTGAATTTAGCATTCCCATTAGCTTGCAGAGCTCATTATGGAACAGCTGCAATGCTCAGAGCCATCCAGGGACTTGCACTGGTATGTAACTAACAAGTTATTTATATATATATATATATTGTCACGTATCGGGCATATATCGCGACAAATAACTTCACGTCGTATTTTGTATAGCGAATTTTATTTCACATTCGCACTTACAATCACCCAAATTACAGATTTACGGTTACTGCTATCTGCAGTATCACAATTAGTACACTCGAAATGCCAGAATACCACTGACTAGCTGACTCTACGTCTCGACTCGGCGACTATTACAGTACAACTGACTAGTTACTGGCTAACTCGGCGGTAGCTCCAGGACTCACTGACTGACTCAGTACAACTCGCTGGTAGCCACATTAGAACTGACTGGTACCAGCTGTGCAGCTTACTTATATAGCTGCAGTGCTTGCCGGTTGCGTAATGAGTGCCACGTCATCCTGTTACGTCACCGCTGTTGATTCACCTCGCATAGTTACCCGGTTACGGGGCTCGGCTATCTTCGGCTCCGCTCGGCTCTCTTCGGCTCCGCTCGTGACGTCACCGCGCATAGCTGCCAGGATGCGGGGTGATTACTCGCCTATTACGCGAGCGTTACGTTACCGCTGAGGGGTGGGAGGGGAGCGCTGACTCACCCGCCGCGTCACTGCTGGTGTGGGGGGGGGCTCGGCTTTGCGCAACATGTCACAATATATATGGTGGGCATGCGGTAGCGTAGTGGTTGAGGAGCTATGCTACAAGCTGGAAGGTCGCGGGTTCAAGTCCTGATGAGGTCATTGGATTTTTTTCAGTTGACCTAATCCTTCCAGTTGGACTCCACCCCCCACTAGAATGTAGTAGAATAAATTATAAGTGACTAAAGTTCAACTCATTTGCTTAATTTATTGTAATATTTCCATATTTACAGACGCTTCATTTGCTACATAGTTTTTAAAATGAAATATATCCTGTGAAGTCTAAGCATATGTGTGTGTTCGTATGTGAATGCATGCATTACTCTTCAGTAACATTTAAATGATTCAATGAAACAGATGAAAGAAAATCTCATCAGTACAGAATCCATAGGAACACACAATAATAAATGTATGAACCTTAAAGCTTTTCAACATACTGTGGCATAGTTATGTCACAATACATTATGAGTTTTTCAGCTACTTCTTGAGTGCTGGGTAGATTGGCCTAAGAGGATCATATTGTTAATTAAAATTACTCTCAGTGACCTCTGTTTGTGTAAGGAAGATCCAGCAACCTTTTCAGAGTATATAAAGAGGAAAAAAAATGTTCTGCTTGACAACAGGGTGTGACATGGCCAGCAACACATGCCCTCTCAGCTCACTGGATTCCATCTACTGAGCGCAGTAAATTCATGACTACTTACCACGGTAAGCTCACACCACAAATGTATATAACCGAACTTCAGAATTACATAGTTAGTGCTCCTGACTTTTAGTTGAGAGGTCCAAGGTTTAACTCTCTACCCAGAGACCACAGATCCTAACTCGGGTTTCATAGTTCTTCCTCAGTCCCTCCAGGCAATTGCTGGGACAGCACACACTTTTAAATTCATTATTCACCAGCAATTCTCTGATTTAATTCTGTATAGTTCTGGCAATTAAAAGCATCATTAAATAAACAAAAAAAAACACACACACAGACATATATATACTGTTTAATACCCCTTAAGGAATTAATGAGGAGTCTCATCATGTGTTATTAAATTTTTCATGTAATGAACTTTTTTCGTTTTCTTGTATTCTTTGCCAATCCTACCTATTACCAAATGATCCATCAAGGCTGACATTTAATTCCTCTTCCTATGAATAACATGCACAAATAGTCAACCATAAACTGTATTTCTTTATAGAGATCTTACATTTCAAATATCTGCATCAAAATATCAGTACTCAGAGGACATACATGATGCACTGAAACAGAAGACTGCCCTCTCATATGTGACCTACTACATAATTTATGTTCATGCATTTTAACATTAAATATTTAATTGATATTAAAACCTGATAATTGATAATAATAATGATAAATCTAATGCTTACAAAACTTTTATTTGCATATATGTAGAAGGACATAAATGCAAGTGCAAACCCCCTTCACTCCCATACACACACGCATACTTAAGAAAGACAAAATAGCAACTACTACCATTTTTCAGGTACCTCAGGGAAAGAAACAATGAAAAAATACATAATAGTTTAATTTACAGAAATGTTCAAAGAAATTTACTGAACATGTGATGTAGTGGTTGATATTTATATCCTGCCTTAGCAGTTAGGTGCAATGATTATACTTTAGTTCAAGGGGTAGTTGGTTTGAATTGCTGCCAGGTTACTGGCAAACCTGATTGAAGTTTTCTATGTTTTTCTTCAGACTGTATGGGTCATAGCTAGCATAGTACCTTCAGATAGGCCCTATATGCCTATTGTGTATAGCCTATGTAGTTCAAATAATATTTTAGAATAAACTCAGTCTTTTCAGGCTCGGACTCAAGACATCAAAATTTTGTTAAAATGTTACATAATAGCTCATCTAATTTCATCATTCAATATGATGATAAAAATAAATCAGATGCACTATGAGCAGTGTGAGTGTGAAATTATACCAGATATGGGATGGCTTTCTACCAATCCAGTTGAAAGAATAAATTAAATATTGTGGCACTGTAAACTTCAACAAAAACTCTGATGTTTAATAGCTATTGTGTATGGAAGTAATCTTGTTTTAAGAACCCTTGTAGGTCTGAGTAGTTTGGTTAGTGACAGAATGAGTTTAGCCAGCCAAGAATGGCATGTCAGCTCTATTTAATTTTGATAAAAAACTTGGTGGTATCCTATCACATCATGAAGCATTGACTTTCATGTTTTAGGTTAGTTATAGCTGTCTAACTGAGGAAATCAGTATAAAAGTGAATCAGCTGGTCCTGAAATAAAGGGAACTTCAGAATTATTTGTTTTTTTTTTTCTATAAGGCAAATACTTTGAATACTGTTATATTACTTGAACGAAAAATTTGTTTTATATTTCTTTTTATAAAGAAATCAATTACTAAGATTAGAAATATGGATTCCCTTAATTTCTCTTGTTGGAGATTTAACTGCATTTATGGAATACTTATACAGATGATTCTACCCATCATCTAAATACCTTGTAATTGTGTGATGTAACTACTGGCAAATGTATTTTTCAGTAACAAACTGGATATTATGTAGGTATCTATCTTTTAGAGTATATCATTTTATGCTGTAAAGAAACAAACAGGATTCAGTTGTGGTGATTTCTATCCCCTGAATTTGTCTTGTTATCACTGTTACAAGGAATTGTCCATCCAGAATATTATACTTTTTACATGTCTTTATATGTATATAAACTTTGTAGAATGGTTATTTATTTAATTTGCAAGATCACTAGCAGTATGTTTTCTTCTGGACAGTTCTATGGTTTGAGCCCCAAAAGATTAATAGCATGATGGGAACTAAAAGTATAATGTGATTTTACAGGTTCTGCTGTTGGTACAGCATTAACTTACCCCTTGAGTGGGATCCTCATGGCTACACTGGATTGGCAGTATGTCTTTTATATGACTGGATGTCTGACACTGATTTGGTATGCATTTTGGTTGTACCTGATTTATGACTCACCTGCACAACATCCACGGATCTCAAATGCTGAACGGAAATACTTGGAACGTGCTATTGGAGAAACTGTTACTTCTCACAAGGTGCCTTTAGAAATTCTGAGAGGAAAAGTAATATATCTTTTACTCAGCAATTAAATTCAGTTGAGAGATCACTAGATCTAATATTGCCGTTGGGTTCCTATCATTGACTTACAGTAATAAATAACAAAGTATCTTACTTCATGAACAATCCAAAATATATGGTTTGCCTAGAAAAAAAACTGGCTACAGAAAGCTATAGAAAAAACAATAAAATTCTTAATCTTTCGTCTGCACAGTTCCGTGATTTTTTTCATTTCACTCATAGCAGTGACTGACTTTATATTTATTCTCAAAATATATTCTTTCCACTGGCCAGGGTTTTTGTGTGTGTGTGTGTTCATGTACATGCACATATGTGTGTGTGTGTGTTCATGTACATGCACATATGTGTGTGTGTGTGTGTGTGTGTGGTAGGGGGGAGGGGGATGCTCAGCCAATTAAGATACTCTCTGCCCTTCATGGAACCTGAAAGTTCAGTGATTTGTTCTCAAGATCCTGCCACTGAATATTGTCTTGAGCCATATGAATCTGTTTCACACTCTGTTTTCTTAAGATTCATCTTTATACTTTTCTCATATCTATGTCCATATTTCCTAAGTTAGCTCCTCCCTTCAGATCTTCCCTTCACACTCTGTTCTCAAACGCCCATCCTATTCCCTCCAACACTTCTGAGTTTCACTTCTAGTCAGAACCATTCAAACTATGAGAAAAGAACACAGCCCCAGTAATACACTTGCTGAAACCACAAACTAAATTGCAATGACTTTTAACATTGTACTGTTGGATCACGTAGTCACATAGTAATTACTGCACAAAACATCAATGTGGATATTTTATTTTCAGATCTTGTATGTTGATCCCTTATTATGTGTGATAGAAAATCTAACTATGATAAGAGCATGTTCTGCATGCCCAAATATAATTGCACATGCAATGAAAGAGAGGTATGAAATCCTGTAATATCACACATGGACCTCCAAAATCTTGTAATTCACAGACTGAGAACTTCTAAATTAAAAATTTTTGCCAACGTTATATGCATTCATAAACGTATTTTGAAAACTGCTTCTTGCTTTAGCCTTGCATATCCCCCTTCTCCTTTTTTACACCCCAAAGGAATTAAAGACGGTACAATGGAAGGGGGAAAATTAATGTAAACAGTGTAATCCTTGCTCTTATTACAAAACTGTATATTACTGTAAATTGATTTTTTTATTTTTAATTGTTAATATAATACCAGTCTATTTCTTAAGCTTTATGTAGTCTCATCTTCATACCGTATTCCCTTCTCTTTCAATTTTTGTAAGAGTATGTATATGAGAGCAGCACCTTATTGAGAATTCTTGTCAGTCTCTCCAAGAATTGACCCTAAATCATTTGTTGGATTTGAATTCAATTTTGTTTTGAAGCATCATTATTAGATCGTAAGTATACCATCTATAAGGCAAGGATAACCTTATATTAAAGACACTCAAAATATATTTAATACACCAAAAGTGCTTGTTAAATACTGTAACGTGTTTTGCTACTGAAGACGCCGTTTGGATTGTTAATTGGTTTATTTGACAACCTACAAGTCGTAACTACAAATACTTATAACACTGTTATGGGTTTACACAATTTACGAACCCTGTACAATAATCTTTTCACACTATCTTCAATAGTCTTCACTTATTAACAGTACAACACGGGAGCTATACAAGTGTCACCATATTACACACTCCCAGTACCTTCTCACACTATCACCTCTAATCACATGTTCTGGTCTTCCTCCCGCGACTGCTATACTTCAACTATCTTCTGTCTGGCTTCACAATCCACACTCGCTACAACTGAACTCCGTGACTGCTAGACTTCAACTGTCTTCGGGGCTGCTACATTTTAACTCTCTCCTTACGCATTCCAGTCTCCCTTATAAACCCTCAGTCGGACAGCGGAAAACCCACATTGCTTCGCTGTTGCATAAATGCCATGTTTACAGGCGTTGCTGGGGAACACTGCCAAGAGTTATTTCTGCGTAGTAACCGCGGTGTCCCCTGTTATGTCACTGTGGGGAGAGGGTGTTTACTGAGCATTTCATAATGATGGAAGGAGGGGGGGTATGTGATGTCACTCACAAGACCGCAGAGTTGAAGTGACCCCTACTTCCTGTTGCGCCATCCACGTCACAATACTTTAAAATGTCATTAAATTTATACATTCATTCCTGGTTGCAATATGTTTTGGCCACACATGGACTATCATCAAGCAACATTTTTCGTTAATGGGGATACCACTGAACTTTACACTTTGTCTTCTGTGCCCTTAGGCACATCGTTGTTTTTGTTATTAGTTTCTTTCATAGAATACTTTCATTGTATCTTCTCTGGCGGCTATTTAAGTGTTTTTATGTCCTTTATTTTGTTGTGTATGCTTTTAGTGCTGTCTTCCCTTATACAGGAAGCCATAATAGCATCTTGAACTAGGCCATGATCATATTTCTCACCAATTTGTTCACAAACATCCAATCACTTATCATAGTTGATGCAATATTTAGATTACTGACCAGATTAATTCCAGTTATATCAATTATGACTTGTATTTAAGAGATAACCATTTAAGGACTCACAGAACACACAGGTTAACTTGACTGAGGTATTTCATAGTCCACAAAGTAAGTTTCCCACTCATCCCACAGCTAGCAAACCTTATATTGTGCGAAGCGACTGCGCATACATGATAGAGCAATGATGTAGCATGGCACATTCACTAACGCAATTTCCCACATTCCCACAGTAGCATCGTTGCAGCTGTTGAAGATGGAGGCTCTTATTCCAGCTCCCACCGACTGTGAAGTGCGGTCAGTGATAAAGTTTTTGAATGCACAGAGCATAGCGCTGATTGAAATTCATCGTCAGCTGTGCCGGGTCTATGGGCCTAACGTCATGAGCAGATGGTGCGTCGCTGGTGCAGACAATTTTCAGCAGGTCAACAAAGTGTGCATGATGAGAAGCACAGCGGGCGGCCATCCATCATTACAGACAACCTGGTGGAGCTTGTGCGGGAACGCATTATGGAGAATCAGCTCATCGCAATTACGGAACTCAGCAGTCATGTCCTGCAGATTTCCCGCTCCTTGTTGCACGAAATTGTCACGGAGCACCTGTTGTTCAGGAAATTGTGCGCCAGGTGGGTGCCGAAGGAACTGACACCAGAACACAAAACAAAGTGCATGGAGTCAGCATTGACATTTCTGCAGCGGTACCATGATGACGGTGACGAGTTTCTGGACCAGATCATCACAGGTGATGAAACGTGGATTGCACACATTACCCCAGAAACCAAGCATCAGTCAATGCATTGGCGTCACAGTGGATCTCCCTGTAAGACGAAATTCAAGCAGACGTCGGCGCGGAAAGTGATGTGCATGGTATTCTGGGACAGACGTAGATATCCTGATCAGAGGTGAGACGGTGAATGCTGAGTGTTACTGTGAAACACTGCAGAAATTGTGACAGGCCATTCAGAACAAGCGGCACAGGATGCATAGTGCCGGTATTGTCTTCCTGCACAATGGCGCTAGGCCACACACGGCTCGATGGACAGTAAGTCTCCTGCAGAAGTTCAGCTGGGAGGTGTCTAATCATCCAACCTACAGCCAGGACCTTGCTCCCAGTGATTTCCATCTTTTCCTACACCTCAAGAAATTCCTGTCCGGTGAGAGTCAGCGTTTTGAGAATGACAGAGAGGCAGAGATGGTTGTCACACAGTGGTTCCAATCCCAGGTGGCAGACTTCTACGACACAGGTATTCAAAAGTTGGTCCCGCAGTATGACAAATGTCTCAATTCCGGTGGCGATTATGTTGAAAAATAGCTGAACACTTGCTGTATCTGTTGCAATAAATATTTCCATGAAATTGTGTTTTGTTTCTGTAAACGGCCCCAGGGAAACTTACTTTGTGGACGAGCCTCATATCATCAGTCTTTGCAAGTGATTGCAGGGCTACTACCATTCAAAGGACCATGACTGATTTTTCTACACTTATTTTCTGATTACAGCATATATCACCCTCTTATCAGATTCAGTGACAACTCTGCAGTTGATACAGCTTCATTAATCATGTACAGCTTAACCATTTAACTTACATTTGTTCAGTTATTCAATTGCTTTTTCTTCCGCATTTCCAACTCTTGGAGATGGAAAGAAGAATTGGATTTTGTAGAACATTTCAAATTCGTCAGAAGTGGTGTGATTGTCATTACACATATTGCTTGACCTAAAGATATAACTCATAAAAACAATGACTCATTTTAACGTTTATACATTCTGTTGTTTCTACTCCAAATAAATGCTTTTTATTTAAGAGTCACTATGTGATTCACATATATCTGTGTCTGCAATGTGGTCAATTTCATAATAATGGGTGTTATTGCAATTTGATTTTTACTACTAATGAAGGAAATGCAAATTTATTTGTAGTTTTGTCTTGTCATCTGTAGATATAAATTGATCAGATTCATAAAATAACATAAATTTTTGATACACCTCAAACTTTGTCAACACTGATTATGAATTAGGAGCATCAGTTTATTTTTAAGTACTGTACTATAGACTGTGGAATATTTGATTCTATAAAGATTAATTTTAGATGACAGTTGGTGACAATGTATGCTTTTGTCAGATTTGAAGTTCTCATGGCAGTGACTGTGAAGAGTTCTTTCTCTTTTCTGAGATGTGACATCTTGTATCCAAATAGAAGTTCACCTATGTTTCAGAGGAACATTGTATCTCCATCTTCAGGAAAGAAGAGTAAGCCAAGCAAGCAGCACAGGTCTTGACTTACTCATCAATGCTGAAGATGGAGGTAGTACATTCATTCAAAATGTCAGCCAACTTGTGCCGGACTACATGGTATCACATCCCAGTAGATCATAATCTTCATATAGTCTTCATTTTTTCAATCATTTTACTTGGAAGACAGTGACATAGAAACACTTTGAAGAGTTACATTTTTGAGATATAACACCATGTAGTCCATTGAAAGTTAAAGGATGTTTCTGAGGAACATGTTACCTCCATCTTCAGCACTGAAAAATAAACCAAGCAAGAAAGCCACATGAAGCATGTAGCAAGCAGAGCCTTGCTGAAGATGGAGGCAACATGTGTCTTTGACATTTCAGTTGGCTTTCAACGGACTACATAGTTTGATATCCCAGAAGACAGAACTCTTCATACCCACAACTGTGAAAGATCTAAAATCCTACACATAAACTTTTTATTTGCAAACTAATTAATGTAACATTTTGTGTTGTACCTTGTGTTCATCTCTATTTCTTTACTTTCAGAGGCTTCCAACGTGAAATAACTGTAGTAAACCTGTGTATACTATAGCAGGAGAAGTTTCACTTACAATAGTTTTCACTACAATATACCATTTATAAGATACAGAGCTTGATAATTCATATTTATTTATAAATTACAAAATTGTAGTATCTATCTAATGTGATAGCCTCTAAAGGAAGTAGTGTGTTCTTAAAATTTTCTTTTTTCTTGAATCAATTTTACTATAAACCAGAGCATACTGATTTATTTTCAGTGTAAAATTTTATAAATAATATAATTCTCAATTATATGTACATTTTAATGCATTAAAAATTATTATGAGTGACCCTTATTCAAAAGATATTACATTATCTATATTAAATTTGGAAATTCAAAAATACTATATTCCTTTTTTAAAAAGAACACTTTCCAATTCAGTGCAAAGTCCAAAGTATTATTCCTTATCAAGAATAAACATTTATTTCTTATTTCCTTAAAATTCTGTTCCATTTCTTGCCCTTTTAACCATGCAGCATAGGCAAGAATAAGGGTTGACTTAAAAATAACAGTAACATTTTAATCAATGCAGAGCCCTCCATTACGAACACCATGGACATCAATCTTGCTGTCAGGACCATTTTGGGCTGTATTATTTGCCTCACAGGGTCTCATGTGGGGAACCATCACATTATCAATGCAGCTGCCTACCTATTTTAAAAATGTTTACATGCTGGATATCAAAACGGTAAGTACTAGGGCTCATTTACTCCAATTAAATGCACAATTAATCCTCTATGTTCAGCAATCATGGCTAAACAGACTATTACTAATATTTAAATTTGGAAACACTTTGTACCAACATGGGTGTGTGTACACACAGGTTTCCTTTGCCAAAGACATCCAATATGGTACTAGTATCGATGCAGATCTGAAAAACTCAGAAATGAAGAAAGCTATTGTGTGTTCATTATATAGGTTTGTAATTACTGGCCTTCAAAAGACCAAGTACAGTTACTGAAAATTAAAGATCTAGACCTGATATACAGAGCAGAATATCAATAAAAAGAAACAGAAAAGCCCTGTGGAATATTTGCAGGACCACCAGAGGACAGATGCAGTTGTACACACACACACACACACACACATTCTCTCTCTCTCACACACACACACTCACACCCATACTCACGCTCACACTCTCACCCATGCTCACTCTCTCCCTCTCTCTCTCTCTCTCTCTTTGAATATCTGAGCTATATTCTCTTTGAAGAAAGCAGTCTTCTGGGATTTGACACCATGTGTATGTGGTGTTAACTGACGTTTCGGAGGAAGGTATCGCCTCCATCTNAAGGAGCTGGGACAGAAGCAGGGTTTTGTGTTGGGGAGAGAAAGGCAAGGTTAAAGGATGGGCACTAACCCTTAAGCTAGGGGAGTGGGGTGGGGGTCCAGAAGGCTACACAGGCCATGACGGACTAACATAACCACCCCCCCAACCGCTTGTGCCGGTTCTCACGGTCTCTTCGCCTGCGGATTTCCTATAATTTTCCTTCTACCCTGAAGATTGAGGCGATATGTTCCTCCAAAACGTCGGTTAACACACATATACACGGTGCCAAATCCCAGAAGACTGCTTTCTTCATAGTCACCGCCGTGAAAACCTCAAATCTTACATATATTCTCTTTGTCATCTACATGTCAAAGTGGAGCCACTGTACCAAGAATTTTAATTTTTTTTTAAATACACTTATGTCAGATAACATTTACTATTGTGTTTTTAATACGGGGGGGAAAGGATTTTTTCTGTGTAAGTTATCTCTACAACTGCATCTGTCCTCTGGTAGTCCTGCAAATATGGCTTTTTTACGTATTAGGCACATGTGCGTTGTAACTGTGAAAAGTTATTTCCTGCAAACTTTCTTTATTCCACTTATTGTGCAATATATGAAATATCTGTGTAATGCTTTTTAGATATGTTGCACAGGAGATCTGTTAGCTTCATCATATCCAACAATTCTGCCTCTGCATATTGATGCCACAGTGAAACATAGGACAGACTTTGCTATTTATGGATCCAGGGTTCCCTTCATATAAACCAGAATGAAATATCACTTTTATATAATATAGGATGGATTTTCATAAATACTGATTAGTTTGAACCACTTTTCAGAAAATGACTGCAACATTTATTGATATAAACATTTCATGTTAGATACACCTCTTCATACAATGTAGCTATCTGAGATATTATGTATTCTTTGTCTCTCTGTTAACTCTTATTCTCTTAGAAACCAACAGTGGCATAGCATTAAAGTCTTGAGAAGTAGTTAAACTGTTTAACTGTTACAGAATGGGTTTGTTTCTGGCATACCTGAGCTCAGCAAGTTTGCATTCGGTCTTGCCTTCTCTACTACAATGGACTTCATGCTCCGTAATGAATATTTATCCATCACTGCTGTCCGTAAAATTTCTGTAGCCACAAGTTAGTATACTACAATATTCATATATGGGATTGCAGTGTTGATCATGTTTGTGAAAAAAATAATTTCATTTTAGAGCAGAAATTTCAAACATCCTCTGTTTGTCCATTCATATTTATTATTTTATCCTAATTAATTGGACTTTGGCAGATGCTTTATGTTAGGTGTATTTGTGTTTTACTTGTCTGTTTTAACGTTTTAGTCTGTTGTTGTACTTAATGTGATTAAATAAGGACGACTTTAATAAATTAATATCTTGTCATATTTGCTCAAGGTAAGAACTGTGAAGCCAGCAGAAACAGCAATTGCTAGGGAACACCTCTGCAAACATGCTTGGTAATAGGTAACAGATCTGTAATATGCAACAATAGAGTAACTGGCAAGCATTGTTCTCTGTGCGGTCTGTGTGATAGCTACATGATGCAACATGGGAGAAGTGTTTTTTGTGCAGTCCATGCTGAGGTGTTATAAGCAGGACAAGTCTAGAGTTTAGTTAGTTGTGAGACAGTTGCCAGCCAGTAAGGACGTGAACTTGGAAGCTGAGGAAGCTATGGTGTTGGAACCTATTACCAGGTGACAATCTGTAAAGGTACAGCAGATAGTAGATCTCAAACATGTTTAATGAAATGCAGTGTGTCAATTAGTGTTAGCTCTATAGTTATTTGTAGTTACATTCTGTAAGAGTTCAGTAAATCCAATTACCATTCCAACCCTCAACTGTAGTAACTCATACACATGAAAATATTTTAATTAATTGATTCTTTTTACCATACGTCGATTAATTGATATATTAATATTTTCACGAAAGTATGATATGTAAAAACCAAACTATTCAATGAAAATTGAAATATTCCATTTGTACAATAGACATTATTTGTCTGGAAGAATTCCTTGGTATAACTAAAATATTCTTCATATTATTTAATGGAGATAGTGTATGATAGAAATGATGTGTCTAGATTAAGTCCTTTGTACAGCTAAAACATTCTCCATATGACTGCATTAATGGAGATAAAAGAAACAAACATGAAAATCCCAAATATATCATTAGATGCAGCTGGAGTGGTCACATGTTCCAATACAAAAAGTTCCATTTATTGTTGACATAACTCATGTATGTACACAGTCTAATGCTTAATCAGTAAGAGCTCTCTGAGATGAGTTATGCAAGGGAGCATATACATATTGATCATGCACTATAACTGAATTCACTCAACATTATGAACTAAAAAGGAAACAGCACAAGTGATTTAGCTCAGAGGTTTTCCATTTGATGTCCATGGTAATGGTTTTGTCAATTAATATAGTAGAAGTAGAAAAAAAATGTAGTTGCTTCTGCATCATGATGATGTATGGAGGAATGAAAGTGAAGATCAGATAATCTTAACATCAGTTAACAGTGACCCTGTATAGATAGCCGCAGATCAAAATTTTATTAATGCCTGTCCCTTCCATGTTAAGAGTGTACATGCATATCAACATTAAAAATATTAAAATATTATCATGTGTTAAAGGACTAACCTTTACTTGCATGTGTCACAGAATTATAACATACATGTGCAAGGTCCAGCATCCTTTGCATGTCACCCTGCCAGCAAGATGCCATTGACCAAAAGTTAAAAACCAATAAACAATCGACACATAAAGCTTGATCCAATGTGTTTAATTCAAAAGGTTTATTTTATTTATATTGTCACATAATGGAGTGACTGTAGGTGGGGTTTGGATTGGTAATTGGAGCACAATTTTGCAGCTTGTGACTACATTTTACAGATATGTATCACACACAGACCAGCATTCTCAGTCACACTGTTTGGTTACGGCTTACAATGGCAGATGTGTTCCTCTGCTTCTGGGCTGAAGTCCTTGTAGGGTAGTGACCATCTCGTGGCAACCTCATACTCTGACCACTGGCTTCAGCCAGTACCCCTTTCACCTGCTAGCCCCCAGGCTGAACTGACTTCCAATCTCCAACTTCAGCTGTTAATTTTCCACTGGCTTCCAAACTGAACCAACTCACAGTCAGAGTCAGAGTTACTGTACAACTGCTGGTTTAGGGCCAATCAGTTTGTCTTGGTGACAAGCCCCACTGAGACTCGTGACCAGTAATTGTTTTTCTTAACTGAACACTTGCGGTCATTGTCCTTATGTAACATCCTCTCTGATGATGGAATGAATCTGTCATTTACAATTACTACAGGCCCCTGGCCCTCACCAGCACAGTCATTCTGAGGTCCAAGTCCCACAAACTCATGACCATATTTTACTGTCTCAGAACTGAGATGACCAACACTCAGTCAACCAGTCTGTCTTGGAATAAAGCATCCATCCGGGGCTTACAACCAGATTTTTATTGCTGTATGACAGTTGCAGGTTTGTTGATGTGGGGTGCTCTCTGATGAGAGGATGGGTCTGTTGTTTACAATTGCTGCTGGCCTTCGCTAGCGCAGTCGTTCTTGGGTCCCAGTCCCATGGAACTCGCAACCATATTTTACTGTCTCGGATTCGGGGCTTCCATTTTCATCGCCTCATATGAATTGCAGGGAGGTATTTGACCCTGTCTCCCAGCTACATAAGAACTACTAATTAATTTCTTATGCAGCCTCAGCACAGGCTGCATAATAATCACAGTTTCCAACACTTTGTCCATTGTTGCATGATATCACTATTGGCACACACTACATAGAAAACATCACTTCTGACAGTTACTCTAGCGTTACGTTTACAAAAATGTTGCCTAGCACTGGCTGCTTCTCTGGTCCAATATGCTGTCTGTGAGGCATTATGTCACAATATGTTATTCTGTTTCAAAGCAACTGATTAGTACATGATAAGATGTATGATTATGAGTGGGTAAACATTAAATTGTGCTAAGACAGATTAATCGAGTATCTGAGTATCATTACATTCTTTGGCAGGTGAGTTCATCCCTGCTGTATTGCTTGTAGTGCTTGGATTCCTTGGCAGTGGGAGTTCAACAGTTGCTGTAGTGTTTTTGGCCCTGTCATATGCAGTGGGGGGAGCCAGCTCTTCAGGCAGTTTGCCCAATATTGTTGATCTCAGTCCCAACTTTGCAGGTAGGTCTGCAGCAATACAGTACTGAACAAGAAGTTTATTTCCAGTGACAGCTCACTTGAGTTTTAACAAACTTGAGAAGTGTATTCTTGTGGAATTTCACATTTCATATTTAGAAGGATGTACAGGGACAGTATTCCAGTCTCCAAAAACAGATTTCTCAGAACATTCACTGTTTGTTAGTAACTGAGCTACTTTAAATTCCTGAGGTACTGTGTTATAAAATGACATGTAGTTAACTGGTTGGCATCCAAACTGGGCAGGTCTCTTGAATGAAAGTGAGACATGTTACTGGAAATATCCTGAGGTTTTTGAATATATCTGCATGGTTTTTCTACTAGAATTTATTTCTTTTCTTGATATTCATTAATTCTGATGAAATAATATATTCTTACTTAAACAGACATGGTTATGCTGATTATGTGTGTACAAAACTTACTTTTAAAGTTATTTCACATTTTTCTACCCTTCTGTCACCCGTTCCTTCTGTTTTTTGCATTGGCACATAAAAATAAATAACCTTGCTTTAGCAGTTTTTAAATTTGTGAACTATGATAATGATCACTAGTTTTGTATGTTAATGACTGCGTCTACTCACTTTATGATTCAGCAATTTTAGATAACATGAGATTTAGAGAAAAAAGTATAAGTCAATTCTTACATCAAGTACATTGTGGGAACATCCCACATTATCACGCATTTCTGCAACGCTCGCTCTTCACATCACTTTTCACCATCACGCGCGCTAACCAATCAGATTGCTTCAAACGATCGCATTTATACTACGCTCGGCGCTAGCCCGCGTCTACACCATTACGCGCGCTAGCCAATCAATTCTTTCTCCTCACTTTCGAGTTTGGCTCCGCCCCACCGACCAGCGTATAAAAAAGCAGAGTTATGCAGTTTAATACAGTACATCACCAGTCTACAAGCTAGCCACATCAAGCAACTTCAGCCAGCAGGCTTCGTCGCCAGCGCTCGGTCTTCGGAGACATCGGCAGGCTGCGCCAGGCACGACTGCCTCGGCCCTCCACCGCTCTCACACCCGACTCACTGGGGCACCGCGCCTGGACTCGCCAGTGGTCGTGTTACGGTCCGACCCACTGGGCCTCTGGCGTAGCCACTGCCTCATGGCTACTACGACCGCGCTCGACGACTAGCCTTCACCAGCAACCGCCGCACTGCGATCGAGCAACCTCCATCACTTGCCGCACGGCAACCAAGCAACCAGCTGCCACGGTCGCACTGCGGCCACTCCACTCACCGCAACTAGCCTTTCTCCTTACCGGCGCGCGCCGCGCTACCTCACCGATCAATCATCTCAGCAGCCACGGTCCTTTTCAGGGCCAACAAACTGTTCCGAAGAAGTGGGTTGTCATAGGAGTATGACAAAGACACACGTTAAAGAGTGCCCCACAACATATTTTATGGGTTGAAATATGGAGATATAGTACAATCGTACACAATTTAAAAGTTTTAGTGTTGCAAGTTCCATAATAATTACCAAAGCATTTTTAATTTTCCAAAGTGTTGAGTAAAACACGGCGCAGTAACCTTGTGTCTGTCTCTAAGCCATTAGGGAATGTTGAAAGCATAGAAGTAAGGCTGCTAACAATCTTAGATAACTTGGCTCATGGCATTAGCTGAGCAGTCATCTTCATTGAATTGAATTGAATTTATTTACATTCTATAAATCCTAAGTAGGTTAGTACCTTTGGATACAGAACAAGTCAAAAGGTTACATACATAAGTACAGGCAATTTTAGCTTAAAAATTAATATAACTTAATTTTACATCATTCTCTATTTACATTGAAGTATTCATCTAAAGAGTAGAAGGAATGAGCATGTAGTAATTCTTTAACTCTGATTTAAACTTTTTAGTATCATTGCCCAAGTTTTTAATACTTTGTGGCAGATTGTTGAACACTTTTATGCCAGTAAAGTAGACTCCTTTTTGATATACTGATGAATCAAGGCACATTTATATTAATTTAAATATGCCTGAAACCAGCTGATTTTCTGGTCTGATATTCTGTAGGCATTTTAATTGTACAGGAACATTCTGAACATCCCCAGTTCAAAACCATTTATTGAAATCTTGCTAACATTGTTTAAAGAGGAAACCGAATTAAACTAAATTGCTTAAATCACTGGCCAATGTAATATATGAAATAAAGAGAAAGTTGTTAGGATTGAAGAGTGTATATAACACCCAGTACTTATGTAAAATAAAGTAAAGCAAAGGTATCCCTGTAACAGTCCATGGAGACCCATAGGGTTGTGAGATGTTGAGGCTCCCACATTTTGTAGATAATCAGCTCACAGATGGCAGTGAGGTTGTCAGTCTTATGCCCTTTACACCGAGGAATATTCCTGGTACTCATTTCTGTTAAGAGGCTTGGTTGACCCCAGAGACTGGCTGGAAGGATTAGGTCAATTGAAAAAATCCACATCATCAGGATTTGATCCCATGACCTTCCAGCTTGTAGCATAGTGCCTCAACCAACTACGCTATCACGTGGCCACTACCCAGTGCTTATGACATAAATTATTTAAACCTTTGGATAATTTGAACTTTACAGATTCCGCCTTCTTCCTGAAATTTGTTCCATCAATAGCATTTCTTCTTTCAGGGACACTCCTTGGTATTATTAAAACACTGACACTAATTCCTGGAGTGTTGTCTCCAAATGCAGTCAGCCTTCTGAACAGTAGTTTTGTAAGTACAACAATATTAATCACAATCCAAAAAAGCTGCTCATTAGTATTGTAAAATATTTTGTCATAAAACAAACTAAAATAATACTCTTGTATATATTATTTTAAACTGTGAGACTCTGCAGACATAGTCAGTATTATTTATATATATGAGAGGGTTTACATTACATTACCAGGTTAGTACTTGGATGGCTGGTGTGATGATAGTAGTGAATGTGGTAGTTGTGGTGGTGGCGGTGATTGTGGCAGTGGCAGCAATGGCGGCAGCAGTTCACTGTACCTACTCCTTCCCTTCTGCTATTCCTCCTTTACCCTACCTTCCTCCCTCCTTCCCTCACCTACACTCATGCATGGGTCACCCACATCCCGGCAGGGTTCATTCTTGGCTTTTAAATTTAATTGTGTTGTTTAGCTTAAAAATTGGTTTCGGTGGACTGGGTCACAATTTCTGTGTCCTGCTACTGGAGAAACTTCCACATTTGTGCTTTAGGTCCCTTTATTTTATTTTCAATTATTGCCTCCATTCATCATGTTTATCATCATCATCATCATCATCATCATCATCATCATCGTCTTTTAGCTCCCACTGGATCTTAGTTGTTTAATTTCTCCCCTGACTAACCAGCAGCCAAGGCTTCCTTCTCGGTTTGTTCTCAGCCATTACAATTTTGGCCTTCCTCTTTTCTTTTGTCCTTGTGGATTCCACACCAAAGCCTCCTTCTTGATTGCATTTTGCTTTTGAAAATTATGGCCGGTAAAGTTCTATTGACATCTGGTTATTTCTTCAGTTATTTCTGTTTCATTTGTTTCTATACTTTAACATTTGTTGTTATAACTGGCCATCTGGAGGTGGTGGTGGTCGTCATCGTGGTGATTGGTAGTGGTGGTGGTGGTTGTAGTTTTCGTGATGATTGGTCGTGGTGTTGGTGGTCGTCGTCGTCATGGTGGTGGTCATCATCATCGTGGTGCTGCTGGTGGTGATCATGGTGGTGGTGGTGGTGGTGGTGGTAGTGACAGTTGTTGTCGTGGTGGTAGTCGTCGAGATTGTGATGGTGGACATAGTGCTAGTGTTGGTTGTTGTGGTGGTGGGCGTCGTGCTTGTGGTGCTGGTGGTCATCGTGGAGGTGGTGGTGGTCGTGGTGATGGTAGTGGTCATCTTGGTGCTGGTGGTTGTAGCCATCGTCATAGTGTTGGTGGTAGTGCTGGTCATCATCATCGTTTCGGTGGTGGCATTCATTGATGTGGTTATGGTGGTGTTGATGATGGTTGTCATGGTGGTTGTTGTGGTCGTGTTGGTGATGGTGGTGGTCATGTTGGTGAGCTTCGTGGTGGTGGGTGTCGTTATGGTGTGTGTCATGGTTGTGGTTGTTGGGGTGGTGGTCGTGGTGGTCATCTTGGAGGTGGTATTGGTGGTGGTGGTAGTGGTGCTGGTGGTCGTCATCGTCTTGGTGGTGGAGGTGGTGGTGGTGGTGTTGTTGGCCGTCGTCGTCGTCGAGGTGGTGGTGGTCATCGTGTATCTGGTGGTGGTGGTCATCATGTCTCTGGTGGTGGTGGTTGCGGTGGTAGTTGTCGTGGTGGTGATGTTCGTAGTGGTGGTTGTGGTAGGGGTGGTGGTGATGGTCATTGTCTTGGTGGTGGTAGTGGTGGTGGTCGTGGTGTTGGTGGTATAACTGACCCACTCAGTGAGGCTTCTAGCCCCACAAGTTGATTGCCACTTATAACTTTTTTAACCGAACAACTCAGTGGGACTTCAAGCGTTGAGCGCCGCTTATAACTGTCCTCTTAGTGTCCTTACGTTGATCTCCACTTTCATCCGCCGCTTCCTTGTTGTCGTCTGGTTCAGGGTAGGGTGTGGGATTACTCTGAATTAGAATTTGTATTGGCGCCAGTGGACTAGAGTGAAATCCACGAATTTGAAACGGGGAAAAGAAATGGGGGGGATGTGGATGGGCGGGCGTTTGGGATTTTGGCTGCTCAGATGGTAGGACAAAATTCTGTCTCAGGGCGACTTCTGGGCCTTGCTCACACAAGGAGATAGAGAACACTCAAAACACACACTTCACCAACTCTGTTGCTCTTTATTATAGATGTGAACTAGAATTACATATTACAAGGCTGTAGCACTTTTTAATTTGTTCACCGGACTCGGCCAACACCGATTTAACGTCCAGGACGTTACTCCTGTTACTCCCTTTAGACAACTGACCCCTGTTACTCACTAAGACGACTGACTCCTCCGGAGAGGCAGAACTCTTGATGGTTCCTGGAACGGCCGGTTTCCTCTCCTCTGAAATTTTGCTGATTGGCTGAATCCAAAATTTGGGTGTTACTCTCATTTACATTCCGCCAATCCCTAACAAGATCCATGTTAATTTGAGCCTAAGTACAAGACGGTCCTTCTGACAGCTCTTAAACAAATGAAGGTACACTAACGATCGCTCGGTACGCCCTTCTGAAAATTATTGCGACTCGTATCTGTCAAGTCTCAAAGTTTAAAAGACTCATACCGCCAAAGTTAAGCATTGAAATTCCCAGAAAACGCAGTGAGGTACTTCCTGTTGTCCTGGGTTTTCCAGTGACCTGCAGCTTGCTTGTCCCTCAGAAAGACCAGATGTCGTCCTTGGCGCCTGCTGGTGCTGGGGTCAATTGTGTTTCATCTTTTGTTAACAGGAATACATTTCGTTTACTTGTAGTACATTATAATTAAGAATGTAAATGAATATTGCTGAGGTTCCTGCATGGTGCGATTACAGTGGTTGTATACATCATGGAGGTGGTAGTGGTGGTCGTGATCGCTGGGGTGGTGGTGTTGGTGGTCGTTGTGGAGTTAGTGGTTAGTGGTGGTAGTTGTGGTGGTGGTGGTGGTGGTGGTTGTCATCGTCGTTGTGGTGCGGGTCATGGTCGTCATGGTTGTGGTGGTAGTGATCATGGTTGTGGTGATTGTAGTGTTGGTGGTGGTCGTTGTCATCATGTTAGTAGTGGTGATATTGGTCGTTGTGGTGGCGGCGGCCGTTGTTGTGGTGGTGGTGATCATCATCGTGGTGGTGGTGGTGGTGGTGGTGGCAGCGGCGATTGTCGTCGTGGTGGTGGTGACGGTCGTTTTCGTGGTGCTGGTGGTCGCCATCGTCTTGGTGGAGGCGGTGGTGGTGGTCATCGTGGTTCTAGTGATGGTGGTAGTGGCGATGGTCGTCGTGGTCGATGTGATAGTGGTGGTTGTGGTTGTCATGGTGGTGGTGGTCGTCGTCTTCTTAGTGGTGGTGTACATCGTAGTGCTGGTGGTGGTGGTGGTGGTGGTCGTCGTCGTCGTTGTGGAGGTAGTGGTGGTGTTGGTGGTAGTGTGTCGTGGTGGTGGTCACGGTGCTAGTGGTCATCGTCATCATCGTGGTTGTTGTGGGGGTGGTGGTGATTGTCGTGATGGTGGTGTTGGTGGTGGTCGTTGTCGTGTTTGTAGTGATGCTGTTGGAGGCCGTGGTGGTGGTGGTCAATGTAGGGGTGGAGGTGCTCAGTGTAGTGGTGGTCGTCATCGTCGTGGTGGTGATGGTGGTCGTCATGGTGATGGTTGTCATTGTGGTCATCGGGGTGCTGATGATCATTGTGGTGGTGGTGTTGGTAGTTTTCGTGGTGATTGGTTGTGTTGGTGATGGTCTTGGTGGTCGTCGTCGTCGTGGTGCTGATGGTGGTCATTGTCGTGGTGTGTGTGGTGGTGTTGGTCGTGGTGCTGGTGGTGGTGGTCGACATCGTCATGGTGGTGGTAGTGTTCATCATGCTGGTCATTGTAATAGTGACGGTCGTCGTGGTGGTGGTAGTGGTTGTCTTGGTGGTGGTGTTCGTGGTCGTGCTGGTGATAGTGGTCATGGTGGTGGTGGCCGTCATATTGCTGGTGAACATCATGGTGATAGTTCTGGTGCAAGTGGTCACCGTGGTGCTGGTCATGGTGTCAGGGTGGTGGTGGTGGTGGTTTTGGTTGTGGTCTAGGACCTAGGTGGTGGTATTGTTAGTCATGGTGCTGGTGGATGTCTTGGTGGGGGCAGTCATCATCATCGTCGTGGTGATTGTCATGGTTGTGATGGTGGTTTCTGTTGTGGTGATTGTGGTTGTCGTGATGGTGCTGGTCATCATGGTGTTGGTGGTGATGGTGGTCGTAGTGGTGGTTTTGTTCAGTGTGGTGATGGTGGTGGTTGTTGTAGGGGTGGTAGTTGTGGTGGTCATGCTGGAGTTCATAATTCTTGTATGTGAAATTCTTTGTGGTTATTCATTTGTGTATTCACTGTGGTTGTTGTGTTGTGCTCCTCCCTGTGGCTTTCTTCACTAAGTGTCCTGTTCATCTTATAATGATGTCCATATTGGCCGAAATATGTAGTGCATTTTAAATACTTTTATAGGTGATGAGTTTTGTGGGATGTAGTGTTACACATAAGATGGTGAATAATCGATGCAAGTGTAAAGTGCAACAGGATTTTAAAATACAATATTAACCTAAATAATAATATAAATAATTTCCAAAAATGGTATAGATATAGAATGTAGGTCATTTTGAAAGAGATAATAATATTCTCCACCAAGATGAACACACTACCATCTTTAAGGTAATTTCAAATATAAAATTGTATTTTGTTTCATTGCAGGGTTCTGTCGATTGCTGGTTCTATGTGTTCATTACTACAGCTGTCATATATATGTTGTGTGGTACCTTGTTTATGTTCCTTGGATCGGGAAATGTTCAACCTTGGAACCAACCACAGTTTAAAGAACTACCAGTTGCTAAAGACTCTTCACAACCACACAAAGAATCATAATATCTGACTAAATGAACTCAACTTAACTGACTTCATTTCGCTAACTCTTCTACTTATAACATCTCAGCATGGACTGCAGAAAACACCGTTCCTCTGTTGATGTCGCTGAAACACAACTGTTTGTGAAGCTGTTACTTAGTAATGGCTGTTGTATATTTGCTTATCTCACAGTCATCACCCAGCATCTGGTCTATATGCCACATGTTAAGCACATACTTGACTCTAAAGCAAGAAATTTGCTGATAAATGTTTACATCTTATTACTTAATCTACAAGCCAACCCAAAAACATTTTTATTTACACCAGTCTACACTTTGGTCAAATGATCTAGAGCATAACTAAGCCTCCTCAAAATATCCTGTAACCCGAATCAGAACACTTCTGAAAACTACAGCTAGAATCATTCATTTCTAATAAATTGATATGTCCATTCCTCAGTGTATTCAAGCCTCAGCTCATGTAATGTGATTAAATATGTTGAGATTAACAGTATTTTTCTACAAATTAGAAGTGTAAGTTTTTATTTAGAATTATTTTGTGCTTTATTTTAAGTATGAGAGATGCTAACTGCCTTAATTTGATGGTTGAACATATAAATACATTTACTTTCCTCTGCATTTTTGTTGCAGTCTTAGAACATATATTAATATGGGATTGGAGAAAATGGATAGAGTGTTTTCTGCTAGATACTATGACAGTCAGATGCAGTCACAAGAAGCTTATCTATCAATTCCACCATAAGAAACTATTACCCTAGTTGAGATATTTCAGGGCAATGATGTAACTAGGGAGAAATTTCAGGTTAGAGGGACTGCTGTTTGCAGGTCTGTTAATTTGTACTTATAGTTACGTTTTTGACCATTCACCTGTGAAAAATTAGTGCATCTGATGAAGTGGAATATTGAGAGTTCAGTTCCTAACTGGCCATAAATTTAAGATTCTACATAAGGCAAATATGTACATATTGCCTCAAGGACCCCAAATGCAGATTATTCTTACCAAAAAGAACTTAAAACGATTTTACTCACACTATCATATGTATTAGTTATCTGGTTTCATTATTCTTATAACAGTGCTCCAGGGATTTCTTCCTCCTCATATTTTATTTCATAACATACCCTCTACAGATGCATATTTTGTTCTCCAAGATACTATCATGTGTATGACTGAATGAATGTATAAGGGGTGGGCCTTCTTGGCCCTTGCACCATGACCAGTGATCTATTGTGCCTCCCCTTCTGATTATCCTGTCAACAATCCTGCACTTTGAATGAAGGGCAGGATTTTGTATGTGGGGATGTCGAAATAGTCACTTGGTTCCATAAAATATTGACCCAAGTGGCAAATTATCATGTGTATGCATATGCCTATAGATGGTGTTTGGATGACTGGATTTATTGAACATCTATACAACTTGTTACTACATTTCACAAATCACTATTGCCCACAGACTAGTATTCTCAGTCCGTTACAGTCTCCACTAGTTGTTTCCTCATAATGGCTTCTAACAGTGGAGATTCTTCAGACTGTGCGCTCACTTAGTTCTGATACACAGAAGGAGATAAGAAAATGATGGTGATGAGAATGGATTTGTAAAAAAAACATTTATGGCTCATATGAAGGTTCTATCCCAGAATATACCTGAAGGTACTAATAAATACCACCAGAAGGATTTTATCAGGATAACCAATCACTCAGCCATTTAACTATGTCTACTTCGTGAAACATGGGACAGAGATATCTTCAGAGTTCAAATTGGTTTCTGACAGGCACTGTAATAGGAAGTCCTACTATCTTGCAAGAATTCAATCTTAAGATTTAATTAAGGGATCCTGACAAACTGTAATTGTACATCATGAAAATGAGCATTTAGTTTATCTGTGTTTATTATATATCATGGTGCCTCTTCTTCAGTATTATAAAAAATGGAGAAGTTCATCTTGACTTCCTATTTGGCTTTTTGATGATGCCAACTTTGAACAGATGTATTATTTCAAGCTTTATATTGAGGTTTATCAGATGTTGCATTTGACACCAACCAAAACAGCAGATGTCTGATTGGAGACAAAAATCTTAAAAATACACATGCATAGTTGTATTCTGTGGGATCAGTGTCAAGAGAATCTCAGGAGGACTAATACATGATAAGGAAAGGATGTCGTATGGAGTACATTTTTCATGGTTAAAACTCGAAGGGGGTAAGCTGAACTCAGATTCTGGAATTCAAACTTCCTCCTAGATGAAGAGTAGTGAAAGAGGGTCAGTTAATGGGGCCTGCTTGCCATAAATAACTATGGAAGCAGAACTGTAATCATACGGGTTAAACAGTAGCAGCTGGTTATGGATCACTCATAATGACATGGTTTTCCCATGTAAGTAATGTTATGAAATTTCAATGGTTTCTGTTGCTATAATAAAGTCCTTCTTACAAGTCAGATTTGCTCTATTGTCATTTAACTGTAAATCAGTATGGCATTTCTTTGTTGCTTAGAATACTCTTTCCACATTATTTTCCTCCTTCTATTTATTTGCATTATTTGTTTACTTTAAGCTATTCACATGCAATGTGGTTCTCAGCAAATAGCATAGTATACAATAAATCAAATCCTACATTCAATTCAATTATACTCTCTACCACATTCCATGAAAACAGTTAATTCCAGTTCAAAATGTTATGAAATACACAAAATGCAACAGCAATAAAAACTTCATTCTTGCTCTTCCACAATATGCTTCTTCTTTTCTGACAAAAAAGGTACAGTTCCTGGTTTAGAGTGTGCTCTCCTGTTAGCTTCCCTGCAAGAAAGAAAAAGCAAACATTTGTTCATATTGAGTTGCATATTTTAAATCACACAAGAATTACATTATATATTCAAGATCTCCCAAGCACCTGGAACACCTGTGCATGCACACATGCATGCAGGAGAAAGAGATAGAGTACACACAAGAAAGAGCTCAGACATAAAATTTCAACCTTGATTTCATCAAAATTAAAATTCATCTCATAATTCTACAAATTTTAACATTCCAAAAGACATATATTAATAGATCAGGTGATTAACAAGAGCTGCAATGAATCATAATTCAGTACCAGAACAGCCATACCCATGGCCCCTTTCAGATCTCCTCCCAGAATTTCCATATAAGGGTCAAACACATCACACTGCAACACTAGCAGCCAAACTTATTAACTGTACTTACTTTCTCTTCTGTTTCAACTTGATGGTGCGGAGTTCTTTCTGTGCATGGTAAACATGTTTAGGAACTTGACGGTGACGAGCGATGCGGCTTATCTGAGGGTGACTCCCAAATTTCCGTTTCAGAGCTTCACTGTAGTTCAGAGCTGTCTTTTCACGTGGTCTCAACTAAAACAAAGTAGTACTTCTTTGGAAATAAGGGCTGGAGAAACAACCATAATACCAGGATATCTGATGCAAAAGATAACTGTTTACTTATCTGAAACATATTTAACAATGCTGTCACTAATTCCAACTACATGGTGATGAGAAAGGTTTCTGAATAAGTAGATCTAACACCAAGAATTAGAAAATAGATGAATATATGAATTATTTTGTATCAAAACACTATAAATACCAATTTCAAGGTCCTCCACCTACAGTTAATACTTGTACTGTAATTGATGTTATGCAGTTTAACAATTTTGTTTTAAAAGTATTTACAATAACTGTACATATTAAACAAACATTTAATAAACAACATGACATGATCATGCAAGGCCACCCCAGAGCAAGAGAGACTTAGTTCCTTCATATACACGAACTGCCTACGATGTCACCTTTAAATTAATGGCTATCAGGTATATCAAAGAGAAATTAATTCAGGAATTGCAATATGTCTGGGACCAACGTGTGAAGAGGATGAAAAGGCAGAGCATTTATTAGTTACAGATTCTATGAAAAGCCTTCAGTGTACCAAAAACAGCCAGTGTGAAGAGACAAGGCAGATATTTACACCAAAAAATGTTATCTAAGAACTTTATCTGGATAAATAATAAAAATAACTTGTTTTAACATTTTTCACTGTAAAATTAGATCATCTTATATCCAACAGAGGCCTCTAATGAGCTAAATATAGTTTGAAGTTTGGAGTGGAGTGGCACCCAATAGCCAAGTTCACACCAAATTTCCCAAAATCAGACAACCACTACCCACTACATATTCCAAGGATATTTGGGGTAAATATAGGTGCACAGAAAAACACAATAATTCTGCAGATTAAATTTAAATTACCACAGGTTTCAATGAACTGAAGGCCTGTTCTTACTCCAAAATATTACTATACCACACTTGATGTCATCTACTGAGGGAATTATTAAAAGCTTAACATCAAGACAATTTCTACAGCTGTTGCAGTTTTAATGCAAGTACACCAAGCTGATGTAATCATCTCATGGGGTGTAAAGTCCCCCCCCCCTTCCCTCATGTGCATTGTAACATTATAAGGCTCATTTTCATCACTAACACATACAGACGTTTGGCCAATTCTCAATTAAACTTCTCTTCTGTTAAATCCTCATGGCTGGAAATTTTCAATGAAGCACCCAGCCCAGGATGAGATCTTGCAATTTATATTGCCTCTAATAGGCTCACAACAGTATCAACAGGGGACAATTGTGGCCATGAATCAGAAGAATTCTTATTTAAATGTTATGATTTAAAAGGGTATCCAAAATACGCTATCAAAAATTTGTTTCTGGCAAAATGGTCAGGCTGCAGGTGTAGTCTGAGGGATCTAAAGCTGGTCAGAATGTTCTAAATATGAAAAACACATCATAAAGAAATACTGCAAGAAGATGTCACAATGTATAACCAGGAATCAGTTACATTATATTTACAATGATGTAACATGTTGGAGATAATTTAGCATCAGTGACACTTGTATTAGAAAATGATGCAGTAGAAGACTGTCATCTGGCATATCACCTGTATTGTTTCAGAACAAGGGGAAAAAAAGGCTGAAAATGGGTCAAAGAGAAACAGATTTTTGTAATGTAAACTGAAAAGAGCTGGCTTAAAACACAGTCTTGCAGAATGCTTTCACTGTGGTGATGACCAACCTCTGGTTTAAACATCAGAGCTTTACATTAGCAACCTACAAGCATTGTGGTATACACAGAGCTATATTAAAAACACCAGGAATAGTACCATATTGACTTACCACTCCAAGTTTTTCTGCTGATCTTGCTTTCCACATTCTAATATTCATTTCATCTGAACCACAAAGAATGTATTTGTTATCCATTGACCACAAGACACATGTAAGTCTCTGCATTCGTTTTGTGTGATAAATATCACGAGAATGGCTCTGCAATTAAGATTATGAAATTGTATAAAATAACTACAGTAGACTTTCAATTAACCACAGGACTTTTACAACCTTTTAGGTATTGATTAAAGTTTCCTTCGATGACATGTGTGTTGCCCATTATATCTGCTTCAGTAATATGTACCACAACAATTCTGAATAGACTGTACATCTTCCTACCCTGTTGCAACTCCCCACATTACCATTTTATTCACAGAGATATTGGGTTTTCGGACTTTATCCATCGTCCTGGTTTTTAAGATAACTAAGAAAAACACGACGTTTCGGAAACTGGATCTGTTTCCGTCCTCAGGTGAGGAAAAACACCTATTCTGTTGGGTCCCTTAGAAAGAGCTAGCCTCAATCACTGGAGAATCTTAGTTATCTTAAAAACCAGGACGATGGATAATGTCCGAAAACCCAATATCTCTGTGTGTTATACACCATCGTCAGAATCCTATAGTTAACTACTTACCATTTTATTGCTTTTCATTCAAGCATACTGCCACTGAAGAATGGCTGCTTTCTTCTATTGGAAAGATACTTGTTTCACCGTTTAGTAACAAGGAGCATGACCATTAAATAATAAATTAAGCAATTTTCAAGGCTGAATACAGCATGAATACTAGATATTTCCAGATTTTTGTATTACGTGTTGTTCTTAACTATCCCCATTACCTCTCCCTTCAGGTACGTCAACTAACCAAGAGTTCACTGTATAGTGAAGCCTCTTTACAACACGATCCCAACAGACCTCAGTATTCGTTTTTGTTTTTGTTTCCAACAGGTTTCTGCTTAACACGGGTACTTACTTCTCAATACAAAAAGCAAAACAGATAACTGTAGGTCGCGGTGCAACGGCTGAGAAGACCCACCCCTTATACAGTCATTCCCAATACAAATATTACACAGAACATACCCTATGTAATTCACAACCCAAATGACAAGTTAGAAATTGTGCTACGCATACACACATATAAAGGTTTCTTCTTCCTTGTGTTCTTCTCCACCTTAGACTTATTGGTCTATTTAATGAAAAGCATTTTTGTTTCAAGATCAAAGGGGTTTGGTTCCCAGCTTCAGGGACCAAAGATTTTCCTCTTCCCCATAGCATTCACACTAATGCTGAGACCCACGAAGCCTCCTTATTCAACGGGTGCTGGAGGCTCTTTTCCTGTAGGTAAAGTGGCCACAGTATGAATCTGAGTACTCATTTCCATCTAACACTTAAGTTAACCCTCTGACTGCCAAGCCCCATTACAGAACTACTTGCTAGAAATACAAAAACTGCTTCTAAATGCCACTGCACATAAAAATTGAAAAAACTTCCACAGATCACCTCAAAACAACCAGAGACTTAGTGTGCAAGCCACTTCTTTCACCTGTATACTGGTATATAACATTTGATGCCATCTACTGACAGAAGTGTTTTGCTAAGTGATTAACATTAAGCTGATCTACTGAAGGGAGTTCCATCAACACATATATAATAATAACTGACTGTATATTTATTTTACTACATGTTTTGACCATCTTCAGGCATTCAGTACATTCATTAGCTGCTTTCTGCTGAAACTGCATTGACCAATGTTTACTAAAGATGTTTGTCAAATGTTTTACCTAGATCAAATTGGGGTCATGCAGTAAATTGTTATACACAGTAGTGTGACTGATTCCAAAAAGAAATTTTTCCCCAATTTCGAGCGTCTGTCCACAAATATGCATACAGTTTCTGCAGTATAAATGCATGCTGCTGACATCCTGTCTTACTACGTCTTATCTGGCAAAAGGGGTGGAAGTTTATGTTTGTATTGCACATTCTCCAGTCACATTGGAACCTTTCTGTATGCACGAGTGTGGTCAAAGTCTTATCGTACTTTGTCCTTCAGAAACTCTGACTGTGTATATCTCGGACTGGCCACACAGAGGTACTGTTCTCGGAATGGCCCCGCATTGCCAGAACGTTCAAGCCTAGCGCGTTGTGCTCGTAACGCTTATAAAACAATATTATATTTAAGCATCCTGTTGCACTCTACACTAACAATTTTAAATTTTAAATTTTAAATTTAGAGAAATTTTTAAAGGATTTTAAAATTATAACTAAAGATTTTATAGTGCTAGTACAGAAAAACCAAAATTGACGTGTGCAAAATAATCTACATACCAGACAGATATCAATGAGGTAGATGTTGATAATAACGAAGAAATAACAATGTGTTTTTTAAATGTTAAATTTTAGACTGGGTTCAGTGTGGCAGTAACGTAACAGTATACACCTGATGATGGCCGTTAGAGGTCGAAACATGTAGTGTAGAGGAGAACAAGATCAAGGACATATAATATATATTGTTTGCACTTGGGATGGATTTTGTATCATTTAGCTTATAAAACATCGCAATTTCAACTATCCACCATGGCCTAATTTTGCATGGAAGAAGCTGAAATTGAGAGGCAACTGATAAATGACACCAATTCAGACTATGGTACAGGCGACTCAGAGTGGCGAGGAAGCAAGGGGCTCAGAAACCGAAGTCGACAAAGGCCCATCATCTTCGTCGGCAACCTGAGGACCACCAGACCAGCATGGCAGGAGGGGTGTGAATAATTATTCCGGTGGAGCTGTGGGGTTAAATATCAATGAAGCTCCACACATAAATAAGGATTCCACCCCTTTCTGCGTTTTCATGCTCTACTTCACAGGGATTATCCGTCTCCTGGTGGAAGAGACGAACAGGTACTACCAAGTAGCCTCTAGAGAGACTTCAAGATGGACCTTCTCTGCGGCCTGACGTGACCGATTGAGATGTTTCTCTTTCTAGGAATAATCATTCAAATGGGACATGACATTAGAGATAGACTAAAGGACTACTGGTCGACTGTAGAACAATTTGCCACGCCTTTCTACTCTAACACAATGAAATGCGACCGTTTTCTACACATTCTTCGTTTTCTTCATTTTGCAGACAACAATACAGAAACTGACAGGAATGCCAACAGTTATGACCGACTATGGAAAATCTGGACCATCTTCGACACTCTCAATGATGCATATGAAAAATATTATAACCCTTCCAAACATTTGGCCATAGACGAGATAATTGTTAAATTCAAAGGGAGGGTGGTTTTTAGACAGTACATTCCTAAGAAACACAAACGTGTCGGAATCAAGATCTTCAAAATTTGTGACGCCACTGGGTATACTTATGACATGAAGGTTTACCTAGGAAAAGACAGGACACGTGCCAACCAAAACGTGACAGCAACACATGCTACAGCTAGGGACCTATGCAGACGTACTGAGGGCGTAGGTCACAAACTGTACATGGACAATTTCTTTTCGTCACCAGACTTGTTTGACAAACTGATGACAAAGGACATAACGTGCTGTGGGACCGTCAGACCTAATCGGAAGGGCTTGACTGACGATTTTCGATGAAGATAATTTCGATTGAAGAAAGGTGACATTCATGTTAGGGTGAGACGGAACTTGACAGCACTAGTTTGGAAGGAAAAATGTGACGTTTACATACTGACAAACATGCACTGTCCTACGGCAGAAGGCAGTTTCTGTGATGAGCATGGAAATGCCATCAAGCCAGCAATTGTTGTTGACTACAACACGCACATGGGTTATGTCGACAAAGCGGACAGAATGGCAAACAGTTATAGCATCAGTTGTCGGACCTGGAAATGGACAAATAAACTATTTTTCCATCTCCTGGATCTGATGATTCTGAACAGTTTCATCCTGTTGTCATCCTGTGGCGTGAAATTGTCACACAGAGAATTTTGTCTCACCCTTGTGTGCAACATGCTGGAATATGCTGCAAGGGGTCCAGCTCGCTCTCAACGGTTCATGGGTCGACCTCCTGCTGTGTCATCTGTGATATTTCTATTTCGATTAGAGGAGGCCACTCGACATCACTGGCCGACTTCCTCTAATACGAGACTGAGGTGTCATGTGTGCTCTTCACGTGGGAAACGGAGTTACATCCAGACTAGGTGCATGAATTGTGACGTTGGACTCTGCATTTCTGGACGTTTCCAACAGTACCACATGAAGGCAACATTCAGTTAGATGAAGCAGGACGGAAGACTGTCTACTTATAAAGCTGGTGCCCAAAAATAATGTAAGTAGAACAAGAATTTCTATCTTAAAATTAGATTTTAAAACACTGTGCACACAGGTGGACTGTGCGTGTCGCACGGCCACTCGGCTACACTTTAAAGGTCTCCATACGGTGTCACTAGGCTCTTATAGGTTAACTGTGAACTTTGCAATAATTTGTTTGGTCATTACACACTTTCTTCATCATTTTGACACTTGCATCCATGTTTAATACAACTCAGTTCTGACACCCATGACTACAGTTAAACGAACAGCAAGACACCTTTGGATTTAATTTCAAATGGGTTTTACTCTGTATGTGTGTATAATTCTAAGGCTCCAAGCCTTCAAAATGAACAAAAAATCAGCATACAGAAAAAATTCTATCACATCTTCCCACCACATTTACCTAGGTTAGCATTTATGAATATTTCTTACAAGAAAGGGTATTACATAAATTACATATTACTTATAGCTAAAAACTGTTTCAGATCCTGCACTGCCACAGAATTCTCCATGGTCGTAAGAACATCAATCTTGTGACTTTAAATTAGGGGTTGTGGCTAAATAAATGTACAGCGATTTTTCTCACGCCTTTTACTCAGATTTCTTAATTCTTAAATCTGTGTGGGATCTGTGGTTCTCACAGCAGTGAATATTAATAGTTTTATCTTATGGGATGTGACATAGTGTAGTCTGATAGTAGTTTATGAATGGTTTGATGGAATGCACTGCCTCCATCTTCATGGTCACAGAGTAAGCCCAGCCAACAAACAAACAAGCAAGCAAGCATAAAGCAGAGTATTCTGCTTGCTGTTTTCTTTTTTTCCTGCCCACTTTACACAATGACACTAAAAGATGTAGGCAGTACATTCCTCCATATGTCAAAAACCTTCTACTTGACTACATCGTGTCACATCCCAGAAGATAGTACTCCTCCCTTAGCTATGTTTAGAACAGATCATTAATCACATGAACCCTCAAGATTTACATCAGTGTTATGTACTCAAAATTCACCTTTCCATGTTCAAAGATCCTGAGAGATTTGTCATAACCACCACTCACAAATTCCTTTCCGGTTGGAGCATAATCTATAGCTGTCACTGCTGAAACGTGGTCCATGTGTACTTGCAGTGGCTGCTTCAGCTTCCTTGTGTCAAAAGTATACAAACTGAAAATGGGCAGAAATGAAACTGAGTTGAAAATTCTGTAATACAAATGTCAAACTGAAACCGATCACAGATTCAGTGATGTGGACTTTGCAAAATATGAGCAGTCATCATAAGAAGAGAGAATGTCATGGATGGTGGGCTTGCATCTTTTCAATGAGACTACATATCATTCCATACATCTACAGTCTTACGTTATCAGTCTTAACAAACCAACAAAGCCATACATATGCGCTCAAGAGACATATTTTAGAATGGAACTAATTTACTTCCATGCAGGCTGGGTCCTGCAGATAATGACAATGAATTATTAGACCCATACATGCTTCTCTTTTCCGCAGTTGTTCATTAGACATGAAGTTTTAAAAACATGAAAATAAATGATTTGTAATATCTTAACAACTAAGGGATTTTTTTTCATCTAATAAGGCTAACTGTAAATGAGGGTTAATAGTCAATTTCAGAGTCCAGCATCCTTTAGTCTAGAGAAAGTGCCCTCAGAACTCATCAGAGAATAAGTTAGGTTGGCCCAACACCAATTTTGAATACAGTGATTAGATAAATCCCAGACAGTCTACCAGAAATTACATTCCAGCAAATCCAGTCCATAGCTTATAACTTCAATCAGTAAGCTCTCAAGAGGTAAACGACATGATGTAAAGTTCAGTATGCCAATATTTCATGAATTCAAAAAATGCCCATATTTCATAGATTAAAAAATTCCAAACTACATGGAATTACAACCCAGAAGATCATCATACACTTCATACTCATCATCATGAGAACCTCGAATCCAACACCATTTAACTGGGAAAAGCAATAAGATTATCTTAAAATGAACAAAGAATTAATCATATGGAGCAGCTCTTTGATCTTTCATAGGCCCATAATTAGGCTGATCATTATCATCACATAGGATCATTCCAGTACACTCACCACTCTTATCTTTCATCTACACTATGTACTCATTACAACATGTTTAAATATTATACTTACTTGTAGTCCTCATTGGCACATGTGAAGATGAAAGCTTCCATAGGATTCCAGCACAGTCTGTTACTTCGCAGCGTCATAATTACTTTCCTAATTGGTCCTATGTCTCGAGTGTCATAAAGAATGATACTTCGATCACTAGCACAAGCAGCTACAAAAGTAATCATGACTTTTAATAGTAAAACATCTCCACTAAATTCATTTTTCTCTTCCTTCCCTGTAATGTATACTTTAACCCTTCAGTGACAATTAATCTAAATAATCTGAGCACAGCAGAGATGGAACTTCAAGTTAACAGAAAATGGATCCTTGAAGTGAAATATTGTTTAATTTCTACAATCTTAAAGGAGTGATTTATACAGGAAGGATTTTTACTTTGTCGGCTGGTTCCACAGCTCTGTGCTTCATGGCAGCAGGTGTGCCTCATGATGCAAGGTGCATATGAATTTTGCTGATGAATCAGCATGGCCGACACATGGACTTTCCTCGCACCAGTAAAAGAGGTTCTGATTTACCCTCTGAAGATGTTCTGCAGAAATATTTGCAATTTCCCTATGACCATTTTCTTTTAGTTCTTCTGTTCAGGGGTTACTCTTGTAAACTTTGTCCTTCAAACAAGCCAGAAGAAAAAAAAAACCACCAAGATTAAGATCTGATGAATGTGCTGGCCAAATACCACTGCTGATAATTCTGTCCTCAAATACATCAGACAAAGCCTTATGGATAAATGTTCAGTGTGGGCAGTAGCTGAGTGTTGCCAAAACCGGCCAGAGTTTATCTCCTTCTGTTAACTCTGGAAAGAACTGCCTAAGAATGAGCTCAATATATCTTTCACAATCAATTGCTTCATTAAAAATCACAGGTCTTACAATCCTTCTTGAACTTACAACACACCAGACAACTTTCACTGGATGGAGTGGGACTTCAAGGGTTAGATGTGGATTCTGTGAACTCCAGTAGCAATTATTTTGTGTAGTTATATATCCCTGCAAGTGAAACCATGCTTCATCAGAAAGAATGTCAACTGGAGATCAATCTCGCCTTTGATGACAGATTGTAGAAACCAACTGCAAAAATGAACCCTGCTAGCTGGATTGTGCAGCTGCAAGGCATGCATGAATTAGTCGTTTTATTAGGTCTAAGCTTCAGCAATTGTGTTGCCATTCTTGCACTAGACTTTGACACTACAGTCTCTTGAGCTAGATGTTTCAGTGATTTTCTAGGTGGCCCCTGTGTCATTTAACTTCTACTCAGTAAGCACTCAGCATTTATGTTTTATTTCTTGTCTATTAAGAGTCCCATTGTTCTAAGTTTATTCACCAAATTGTGAATTGCACGTCTGCTGGAAACTCTTTCATCACAAAATTTCTGACACATTCTAGCAGATCAGTATTTCACATGCAGAGTGGCGCATGAAATGATCCAGTATGTGATCTTTTAATAAAATCTTTATTTCAATTACAATACTAGAAACTAACATACTTGAAGAAAGACCACTGCATGGAGATTTATCCTTTGTGAATAAAGTGTTCAACATAAGAAATAATCAGGAAATTGGTTTGCAATGATATGAATCAGAAGTGTCATGCAGAAAGTCCAAAACAACTGTCGCTATGTACTCCCTGGCTCCATCCTGCATGAACCACTAAGTTTGTAACAGCAAACCTGCAGCAAGAAGTTGAGGCATGAAAGTATTGTGCAGCATGCTTAAATAGCACTAGCTGTTCACTGTCTCTTCAAAGAAAATTTGCCCTGCCAGTCCATGGCTTGAGATGGTGAACCATACTGTAATTCTCGAAGCATAACGCACTTTCTCATGAACCACACATGGATTCTCTGATGCCCAATATCGCAATTTTTTTTTTATTAACCATACCATTCAGGTGGAAGTGTGCCTCATCAGCAAACCAAACACTGTTGAATGATACCTCATTATTCTGTGCCCATTCAGCAAATGCCTTCCTTTGATGTTTATTTCAAACTGTATGAGTAAGTTCAGGGAACACTGTCATTTAGTATAGATACAAATTAAAATCACTTTTCAATTTGTTGCACCAAACATCTGTATATCCCTAGTTGGGCTGCAGCCTTCTTTGTTGATTTACTGGGGCTTCTCTGAAGCACCACTCTGACAGCATCAATGTTCTCCAGAGAAACCACAGATGAAGGCTGGCAACATTTCCTCACCAACACTGACTGCTACTGACAAATCATAAACAAACTCCCACCACGAACCGCACTGCTCGCTGTTAAACATAATGTCATTAAATGATCCACAAATTAATTACATCCCTTCATTCCAAACATTATTGGCCATCAGGCAAGCTGATTCATTGGAAAAATTTGTATGTGCCTTGCAGCAAGTGGCACACCAGTTGCCGTGAAGAGTAGAGGTGTGAACTGGTCAACAAAGTTAAAAATTCTCTGCATTTTCTTATTAATTCAGCTTGAAGTGTAGTCCTTGAAGTAGTCAAAACAGATTTAAATATCCCTAATAGTACATGGCTACTATAAATGATTCATTCGTTTTTAAAATGCTATATTTTCCAAAGCATTAAACATACAAATATGATTGATATATAAAAAGAACCGTAAACTCGCCAAGTTTTCTTCACACTCTACAAATGTTCTATGTGTGCCCCTTGGGTCACACGACACACGCCCAGGCGGTAGTCGAGTTCGTTCCACACATTTTGTAGAATCATCCTGTTGATGGTCATCACTCCAGCATCGATGCGTTCCCTCAGCTCTACTAGTGTTCTTGGCAGTGGGGGTATGTAAACATGATCCTTAATGTACCTTAATGTACCCCCAAAGGAAGAAGTCACACGGCGTTAGATCAGGTGATCTGGGGGGCCAAGTGAACAGAGCTACGTCATCCTCACCAACATGCCCAATCCAGCGATGCTGAAGTTCATTGTTTAGGTAGTGACGAACATTGATGTTCAAATGAGGGGGTACCCCATCTTGTTTGAAGACAAAATCCCTGGAATCAGCAGCCACTTGTGGAAACAACCATAACTGCGACATATCTAGGTAAGATGTACCAGTCACAGTTTTCTCACAAAATAAAACGGCCCATACAGCTTTGTCTGTGACACTGCACAGAAAACATTCAGCTTTGGTGAATCTCTTTCAAGTGCTACAATTGCATGAGGATTTTCAGTGCCCCACAATCTCACATTACGACGATTAACCATCCCGGAAAAATGGAGTGTTGCTTCATCACTGAATATCAACTTGGCAGCAAAATCTTCATCCTTCAATGCTTCCTGCATTGTGACACAAAATCTAGGCACCGGAGAACTGGTGCACATAATACAAACTTGGTGAGTTTACGGTTCTTTTTATATATCAATCATATCTGTACGTGTAATACTTTGGAAAATATAGCGTTTTAAAAACGAATGAATCAGTTATAGTAGCCCTGTATAATAACCTCAACTACAAAATAAACTGCATGCACAATTACTGGGTCCCATGGCCACAATAAGACCTGAGTTCAAACACCATCCCTGATTAAGTTTAGGACATGTTCTCAATAAAGGATGGTCTCACTACTATATCATCCTCAAAATCTTCATTGAAATACAGCTACATTCTAAATATCCTGTATTTCAGCATCCTCTTGCAATTGTTCAAATTAGCATCCATTGTTTATCTTCCATCAAAATTGCAACACTTTTACATTCTACACTTCAACACTACATGTTTCGGCCCCAAATGGCCATCTTCAGGTGTTTTTTTTTCTTTTTTTTTCTTTGGCGCTACAGCCCTAACGTGGGCCTAGGCCTACCTCCATGAAACTCTCCATTTCACTTCGGTTTACTAGATATTAGACATTCAGTAGGACTGAGTAAGATTTGAGGCTTTCACGGCGGTGACTATGAAGAAAGCAGTCTTCTGGGATTTGGCACCGTGTATATGTGGTGTTAACACCACAAAGCCTCAAATCTTACATAGTGTTCCTCTATGGGGAGCCTACTCAACGACACATTCGACGACTGGAGACGCTACGAACCAAGAAGAGGTTAACACCACATATACATGGTGCCAAATCCCAGAAGACTGCTTTCTTCATTCAGTAGGACTCCTTGGGAGGGTTATCAGCTCGTCACAAGGCCTCTACCTGTATACAAACACAGAAAAACACACACCAAACATCCATGCCTTGAGTGAGATTTGAACCCACAATCCTGGCTTCTGAGCAAGTGAAGACAGTGCATACCTTAGACCGCTCGGCTACCATGACTGGATCAGGTGTTTTTATGTTACAGATATTTTACTAAAACTGTGTTAAAAACTGCTACACTATCACAGTGTGTGATTTTAACATGAATTAAAACAATGCTTCAGTTTTTAACAAAGTTTTAGTAAAATATCTGTAACATAAAAACACCTGAAGATGGCCGTTTGGGGCCGAAACTTGTAATGCTGAAGTGTAGAATGTAAAAGTGTTGCAATTTTGATGGAAGATAAACAATGGACGCTAATTCCAATTTTCATCTGTGTCCTACACTGCATCCTGTAGCTCAAATTCACCAATGAAAAGTTCAAGGAAGCAACAAAAAATATGAAATTCATAAGAATTCTGGTTCCAAAATCAAATAATTACACTTGGGAGACAAACTGATCTGGACATCAGTTATGCCAACAAATTAATCTGTAAAGTACTTGATACAAAATTCCTTGGAATACATGTAGACAGTACACTGTCTTGGAAAATACATATTGAACAAATTATACCTAAATTAAATGCAGCTTGCTATGCGATGAGATCAATTAAGCCTTTTATGTCACAGGAAACATTGAAGATGGTTTACCATGCCTACTTTCATTCTATTATGAACTATGGATTAATATTTTGGGGGAACTCTTCACATAGTGTAATAATTTTTAAAATACAAAAGAATATAATTAGAATCATTACAGGATGTAGAAGTAGAGATTCATGTAGAGAATTATTTAAGAAATTAAAAATTCTACCTCTTCAATCGCAATACATATTATCGCTTCTCTTATTTGTTGTTTACAACAAAGATAAATTCAAATTAAATTCTGATGTCTATAACATGAATACTAGACAAAAATATAACTTCCACCTACCCTCATCAACTTTATCAGTATATCAAAAAGGAGTCTACTTTACTGGCATAAAAGTGTTCAACAATCTGCCACAAAGTATTAAAAACTTGGGCAATGATACTAAAAAGTTTAAATCAGAGTTAAAGAATTATCTACATGCTCATTCCTTCTACTCTTTAGATGAATACTTCAATGTAAATAGAGAATGATGTAAAATTAAGTTATATTAATTTTTAAGCTAAAATTGCCTGTACTTATGTATGTAACCTTTTGACTTGTTCTGTATCCAAAGGTACTAACCTACTTAGGATTTATAGAATGTAAATAAATTCAATTCAATTCAAAAGCTGTAATTGGGAGGTATAGGATAACATTAAAATGGCTTTTAAGGACAGGTTGTGAGGATGGAAATGAATTTTTCTGTCATAACAGATTCTAATAATGGCCTTCTGTAGCAACAAGTGATGAATCTATCTAAAGGGTTTAATAACTTACTGACTGCTTACGGAAGAGTCTGTACCAGAGATTTCCACATTCTTAAGTCTCCTTCAATTTCCCCCATCAAAAATCCAGCAGAGGCAAAATATCAGATACAAGACTATTTGTTGTGTGTATACAGACCTTTGCTCAGGTTAGTGCTCCCTTTGTTCCTAACTGTATGCATTTTTCAATTGCATTACTTCAAGGTAACCAGAAATTTGCAACAGCCTCCTCTTCTAAACAGATCTTTCTTACCTTAACTATGGAGACTGCTGGGGCACATGTTAGCATAGTTGGTTGAGGCACTATTCTACAAGCCAGAAACAAGGCCATGGGTTCAATTACCGATGAAGTCACTGAATTTTTCAATTGACCTAATCCTTCCAGCTGCACTGTGACCCTGGGGTTGACTCAGCCCCCAACAAAAATTAGTACCAGCTATCTTCCTGGGGGTAAAAGGTGCCTGGTGCTTAAGGCTGACAACCTCACCACCATCTGTGAGCCAAGCATCTAGAAAATGTGGGAGCCTCAACATCTCACAACCCTATGGGCCTCCATGGCCTGTTACAGGGATAGCTTTACCTCTTTTATGAGGATTGCTAATTTCTCTGAATTATCAGAAAGCCTGTCTACCACGACATGGTGTCAAAAATGAGACCATAAAGTATGTAGGTAGGAGGGCGGGCGGGCAGGCAGGTACTAATGTTTTGGAGGAACCTACTGCCTCCATCTTCCAAATAGAAATGTGAACCTAAAACTACATAAATAATAAGTGGTTGAAAATACTTTTTATAGTCATTATTAGCTACCCCCTATGTCTGCATCACCATCTTAACAAGAAGTGTCAGGACAGCAAAGTCAGGTAGGTAGGTAACTATGTTTTGGAGTAATCTGCTACCCCCATTTTCAGAGTAGAAAAGCAAACCTCAGTTCTCATGTAAGAAATTGTTTAGGACAGAGTTATTAGCTGCCACCTATATCTGACATTAGTAACTTTAAAAGAAAAGCCAGAACAGCATCCAAGCACTCAAAAGAACACCGGAACACTGCCCTGGGCCACACTCACTTGACTACAGTCCTAGAAATGTCCCACTATTTGCAGTACACATACACTTACCCAAAAGATTTGTTTCAATTGGATTAAAACTGACATCATGCAAGCTATCAACACCCCACTGGAATGTTCTGATTGGCTCATTGCGGTCTTCCTCCCACACTTGGCAGAGTTCTCCACATGTTGCAAACATGGGTTCCTTCTGGTGATGGCTCACACCCATTATTACAGACTAAAATTTGAAGAGATGGAACTGTCAAACAGGCTGTCACAACAGAATAAGTCCAGAATAGACATTATGAAGACCAATTACATAAATTATGGTGTCATTTAACATTGGACAAATAAAACAAATTGCAGTTTCCAGTTCAAACTAACCTAAAAAAATTCAACCTCTAACAGGAGCACTTAAAATAATTAAATCTCAATTCTCCATGCCTTCTGACAACAATACAATAAACTGTGTCACAACTTAGGTGTTGAGCAGCCAGATTCACAATACAGTAGTTTGGGTTAAACGTTGTGGTGGACAGAGTGGCATTGGAACAAGTAGTTTGGTTTCACCTGCCAATTCTCATTCCACCAACTGCTCCACATTCATTATACTGTGTTACCATCAATGCTGTATAGTTTTGATACTAAAAGAGCTGTTAAATAACAAACTTAAAAAAAAA